AACAATAATCTCATTTAGTCTACTCCAGGGGATCTTCAATCGTGAGTATGGAGCATTAATCTTCACTTAATATATAATTTAATATATATATAATTATATATAACCGTAATATTGTCATTTGGAAGCTAAATACTCTTTTGGCCTGGACTTGGCTGATGTTCTTTTCTTGTATTCCCCAAACCTCATGAAACTCATTGTTCACATTTCCAACCGATTGACCTGAGGCTTCATATTGCAGATTTTGTTGGGGAAGCATTGGAGACTGAGCAGCCCCGGGACCGTTTAGCCGATCTCTTTCATGTGGCTACTGGTGCATGATGATTTTGATTGCAGTTTTGGCATCAGAAAACAATTGGAATGTTATGGTAGGTGGTATTTGGATCCATTGGAATGTTGATAAAGTCTAATCTGATTATATAACCCCAATTCCCAGAGTTAACATCATGGCTGATGGGTGAGGACTTGTTCTGCTTGGAATACTTTGCTGGAGTTGCCAGTGTGACGGCAGGCTTTCGTCTCTTGGCTCAATCTATGTTGCACTTGCAAATTGTAGTTGGTCGAAACTTATTAAATTACTATTTCTTGATTGTGGTGGTTGAAAGAAACTTCTGTTCAAATTTGCATGCATTGCTATGATCTGATTAATGTGATCTGGATGAACCAACATGATGATAAATCAAAGCTTCAGAATGGCTATCCAATTAATAGCATATAATTACTTGGTATGTACTGTTTAAACACCTGTCACCTGTGACCATCCTCCCTTTCCCCTGTGTCTTGCACTGGGAGCATCGCTCACTCAGGAGAACTTGGACTGCCATCGTCGCCTGGTGTCAAGATGCAAGTAGATGCTGCCCCAAAGGTAGTATTAGAAAGATATATTTCTGAAGGTTTCTGTTCCCCAAAAGTAGTCAAATATGTGGGTGTCAGGATGTGATGTCAATTCTCGGGTTCGGGCTAATATGATTTAATATTAAATGTGTCCTTTAAGGTTACATAATCTGCACGTATGCCTGACCATTGTTATCTAAGGCAAGCTGTGGACTATGAGACGGATGGTTGCTGCCATGACCTGCTGGGCAACCTTGGGTTTCTGTTTGCTGTGCGGCAAGTGCTGCGGGTAAAGGAGGGTGGCCTAGGGTACTGGGGGCTGCCATGCAACAGCTTCAGCTTCATGGCAAGGTCTTTGCACCAAAGGTCCACTAGTCAGCCTTTTGGATGTAACCACTATCAATTTGTGGTGACTGGAAACATCCTAGCATGTCGAATGGTGGCCCTATTGATGTTGTGTATCTGCCGTCAAGTGAAGTTCATGGTGGAGCAGCCCGATCGATCAGCGGCTGCTATTTTCCCCTACCTGCAACATCTTTTATCATTTCCACAAGTTGATCCTCAGCGAGTCTTCTGGTGACCTGTTTTCAATTTTAGCTATGTGATTTTGGGATTATGACATACAGTATATTTTGCTGTTTATATGCCCAATGTTGAAATTGTATATGCCCCATAGTTACTCTACCTGGCACTGAACCCTTTTTCGAAATTTAGATACAAACAAATAAAAATCAATTGATTATATATATTTATAATCCTGTTGTCTTCTCAGGTGGATGGGCTACTTTGGCGGATGGTCATGCAAGCCACAGATGGGCCTGGGAAATTGGCACCTCGTCTACTAGAATGGTTTCTCCATATGATTCAAGCAAAACGGAATAATTTAATGGGTCCATTCAGTGGTGACATATGTTTATATCTTGCAGTGCATTTGACATTTTCCTGCACATGAATTTAAAAGATTGGTCCTGCCTGATCTGAGTCATTGGATGCCCTTGCTATATCACCAGCTTCAGCCTGCACACCGCCAACAAATCCGAGACCGTGCAGCCCAACAGAAGCGTCAAATGACGATAAAGACTATCCAAAAATCTTCTCAGAAGCCCCAAGTGTTTTTTGGCTGATTTTAGATGTATCAAGTTTGTTGAATATGGTATTTGTGACCATGTGGGTCCAATCCTTTTTTCCTACCACCGCAAAGAACATGGTACACCCCTGAGGGTTTGTCCCGCTGTAACCCTGCTAAGAACTGGTGGCAAAGATTTGCGGTTGTCTGCAGCCTATCCCAAAGATTATGGCAGAGAAGTTGCCCGATTACATGTTGAAGCAATGGCTTCTTGGATCAACAAGTTTGTTGGGAATTGGAGGGAACCGTTTCATCTCTATCTGGGATATTGGTAACAGGCTTGATGTACAGAAACAAGAATTGGTTAATCTCACTTACCAAATCTTACGAAAACATAGTAGTGTGATATTCCATATCCCAAGAAGCTTCATCAGGTTACCTTGCCCCTGTCTTACTTTCACCCGAGGCAGATGGACTACAGAACCTGGACTTGCATGGGATTGTTCAAGGTGGCTTCAAGGAACCTCTAGATTCAAGTGAAAAAGAATTTATGCCATGGTGAGGTCACTATGTATATATGTATTTGATCCACATGAAATCAACTTATATTACCAAAAAAAAAGCTTGCATTGCATTCCATGAAAAACCTTGCAGCCAAACCGTCTGCAGGAATTACCTCCAGAGTGCAACTGGGACCATGGTGATTTTGGCAGCCTCTTAGAGCTGGTATCCTATGCTGGTCGACATGGTGGATACCGACCCGATCCAGATGTGCCTCTCGAGATTGCTTGTTGCCCAGCCGCTTTTGAACGACTGCGGGCCCGTTTGGAGGAACGATGACTGGTGGGAATATATATAGGTCTAACCCCATAGAATCTCCAGTGGTTTGACAGTTCCAAACATTTAACATTTTTCCTATTTTCCTGTATGTCATATGCCTCTGAATGGGTTGATTTTCTGATGAAACATTTCAGGGGATAACCCTATATGAAATTAAGCGTTGCAATGGGAACTGGATATCATTTACCCAGATCCTACGTACCTATGTGGAATAGCCACTTGGGTGCCAATTTGATGTGCAGTCTCAGAGAGACATTGCTGATGAAAAGAGTGAGCTTTAGAGCACCATCTTGGTCACCCGAGCCCACAACAAAGAACATCATGTCATGCCAATTAGGATTTTATGTTTAGTTTTATTTGTTGTGGGATCCCTGAAAATGATTTGATCACAACGTGCCATGTAGTGCATCCCAATTTTATATGCAGTTTCATGTTGAATAACCTTCAAACAGTCATTTGACAATAGATCGACATAATGGATATCGTGTGGTCCTGGTACTAGTGCATGGGGAACAACTATTGGAATCTGTTGGATATATATATATATATATATCACTTAGTAGTGCCTGGTTCAATATTGGGGTACATAAGTGCAGGAGTGAACTACCTTCTCAGCTAGTACGGGTCCAAAGGGGGTCATATGGGGCTGCTCTGGTGTGGTATTCTAGCTAGGTGGGAGGAGAAAACCAAATGTTCTTTGGTGTTTCAATGAAAAAAATATCCCAATAGGACACGTGCTTAGGATTGCATGCAAATGATTGGTAGGTTCCCTCACCATGTTGCTTGATATTTTCTGTACTCAGGGTTTCCCAATCCATTCTGATCAGCGAAATAGTGAATCCCTGTCTGTCATTGTGGTTCAAAAGGGATTTTCTGGCTACTTTGGCCTTTTGGAGGCCGGGATGTTATTGTGTACTATTTTTATGTAAAAATATGAAAAATATAGAGCGTTATTTTCGCGTTATTTTGCGTTACAAGTGCGTTATCAGAGACAGTTAGGCGTTATTTTCGCGTTATTTTGCGTTATTTTGGATTTTAGCTATGTGCCCAAATAGAACCCCTGGAGGTGGTTTGCATCTCAACGGAGAATAGCTTCAATGGCTGTGAGAGGGTCTGCTATGGTGCCTACGGCGGCTAAAAGTCGTCCTGGACCTATGGAAAATTAGCTGCATTATATGGGTGAGATAAAATCCACAACCGTTTGTAAAAGCAAAGGCTCTGATGACGATGATTTGAAAAATCTATGAACATATATTCCATTGGTTTGGTTCTGAAATCTAAGGATCGTTCCAGATCAGGCTCTTCGATGGACAGTTTCAATGCCAATGATGAGCTGGCATCGCTTGAGGATCGTCTTAAGCTGAAGTTGGTACCCAGTGCATTCCTAAGATATCGTAGTGTTGAGATGATTTGTTGCCAAAAATCACATATCACAAAAGTGAATGCCCCATATGTCATATGTTTGAAAACATATTGATAGTCATATTACATCCCATCCATAACCTGATATGGTCGTGAGGTGCAAAGCCTGTTGCAACACCAGCCCGATCATTGACTACGACTACGGCACCTGCTCATGTTCCCAGAAAGAAAGGACCCGTTGGTGGATCTGGGGGTGGTATGGTGAAAGTTGAAGCTCTTCCCCCGCCATGTTCTTCTTTTACACCGGTCAAGAGCCCTGACCAAAAGAAACCGAAACCATCATCGGTAGAGCCTATGAGTGGTGGATGTGGCCCTTCCATCAAACGCAGCCTGTGTGGGGAGCTTGCTGCAGCTGTTGATGGTATGGGTTCAACACCGGTGTCTACGGAAATGGATTCCTCTTTGGGGACAACTCCTACAGTGACTTGGTTCAATTTCACTGACCCACTAGCCATATATAAAATTATATAAACATCTCAATCATTGCAGAACTATGGAAACATCGCATATTGCATATGGTGCTCTTATATGAACTGGGTTACTGCCCACATTGGTCTAGATTCTGATTGGTTTGATTCAGGTGCCGTCCAATGGGAACGAAGTTGCACCATCTGTGGAGACCAGTAACTTGCAATGATTAAATCTGGGATGTTCCAGGCTGCCTCAAGCTGTGACACCCAACAATTTAATTTAAGAACCGTCTTGCTTTTGGAATGCTCACTTAGGTACAGATGCTTTGAATTCTCCTACCATGCATGAAGGCCGACCATCATTGCGCAACCTGGAGACCCAAACAACCATTCCCCTTGGCCATGTTGATGATGGGGAACTTGATGATGCCATGAATGCCAAGTACAACAAGCCCTTGTGGAGGTGCTTATTCGAATCCCTTCCGGGGAAACAAGTGGACATCAACAAGCTGGTGAAGCCCACGTCCATTTGGCTGGATATGCGTCAGGACCGAAGGGACATCGATGCCATTGACCCTGAAATGGCAAGGTTATGTGTCAAAGCTTTTGACTTCAAGACTATGATTTGCAAGAAAGATCTTGCCGTCAAGGAAACCGAAAGGGAACACCAAGTTGCTATGGTCAAAATCAATGCTGCTTCTGATGCCATGATTCAGATGCAAAGAAAGAAAGTTGAAGAGATGGGGAGCACTGATGTTGAAAATTCGCCCCTCTTTCAGGTGAACAAGAACAATATCATAGTCTGGAAGGGCAACAAAACTCAGGTGTTGGAAAAGGCATTCCAATGTGCCCTGGATGAGCTTTGTATGGCCGAGAATGATCTTGAGAAACACATCGAGCACATGATCGAATCTGCCTATGCAATCTGGGCGAAGCACATGAACATGGAACCAGATGTTGGCATCGACCCGGACTTGTTTGGGGAGCTGGAAGCCATTATGCAGACGGAGTCCACGCCCAAAGCTACTTGACTCAATCCATGTGCATGATAGATCCAAGTACCTTACATTTACAAATTTAGTGGGTTATAGACTTAGTACATCTTAGTACTATATGGAATCAAATATGTTCTTGGGATCATGCAATGGTTAAACACCCTGGTGGTTACTGAACCAACCCACTTCCCACACCCATCCTTCCTTGCCAACGGTAGGCTCTTGCTGCTCTGGCAAATGCGGACCTTGGGCGCAATGAGCGCTTGGATGATCATTCGCAAGTCTGTGATGGGATGCAGGACCCCTATTGGGTCAAAAACACATTTGGGTCAAGGGGAAACATTTCATAAGAGTAATGGAACCAATGTACCAACTAATCGGGTTGAATGGAATTATCTAGTGGCTTCCCCTGAAAAAAAACATCAAATCATATTCATATAATTAATACTATATACAGTATCATCAAACAATATGGCATATGGCAATCTCCGACACCGTTTTGTGCCCCTGAAGGATGTGAATTTGAATGTGGGTTCTGCTCCACATATGGTTGCCAAGACCATGCTGCTTCAGCGAAAGGACACAACGCAGTTGGAAGCATCAGCCCCACAACCTGTATCATGTACCTATTGTCTTACAACATTTTCTTCCTTTAAATGGTGTAGAATGGGGATGTATGGGGTTGGAATTCAGTAAGGTCTTGTTGTTCCATATTGGGATGTCTACCTGGGTTCAATCCCATTGCTCAGGCAACCACTACTGGGGTGAGCGAGGAAGTGACCGTTGATGTGACTAGTGATCAAACGGAGTCCCAAACTGACTATGACAAACGCATGGCCATCAATGCAAAGATGCGATTTTATCGCAGCCTGAACAGTTGCTAGGTTGCATTGCCCGACTCCCCATAACTTATTTTTCAAAGTTGCCAAACACTTGCCATGTATTATCTTAGGTTCGCGTTGTCCACCAGCAGTGCTTGAGAAGGCAAAGGGTCGACGTCACAGTTTCTTGGCTTCAATTGGCTACCTAGATTTTATGCCAGGATGAGTGGGGTAGTCTACTGGGTTTCAGCCAGCAATTTTCCATTTGATTGGGTCCTATCAAGTTCTGCTTCTGCTAAGATCGTCAGCTCATTGGGGAGCTCTTTGAATCTTGGCTCACCTCTGGAGAAGACTGGATGCAGAGCTCGATTGTGGTCAATTCTACTCGGTCACTGAACCACCGCAGGCGGGGGCGCTACATCATGATGGAGTATCGCAACCTCAAGACCCGCTTTGGGAACGGCGTGGCCAAACAGATGCTGAATGAGAAGAAACAGATGGAGGAGACAAAGGATCCCAACGACCCTCTTACCTACTGGATGAAGCATCCGGATGTGGCAAGTGAGGCCTCAAAGTTTCCAAGAAAAAATGGTTTGAACCGAACCTATTATTTTTTGTTTCTTTTTGAAATACCTCGGACCTATAACCCCTGCAACCTGTTACCTCACATGTTCTGTGGCCTTCGGTTTCTGCAGGACTTTGAGATGGTGCGAGTCTTCGACTCCATGGTTTTCGAGGATGAGGTGACTGAAGCTTTGAACATGGGCATTTCAGCGACTGGTGACCTGGACAAGTCCCAAACCCGTCAAGTGATGCACTTTGACGGCATTTTTGTTTTAAAAAAAAGGTGCCCAGCCAAGTTACCTGATTCCTTTTCTACTTGATGCATCTTAGGCAAGTTGCAGCTGGTGGTGAAATCGGGAAGTTCCAGGCCTCGGGTTTGGGCGTACAGCCTGGAGTGACTTCTTCGACGCCACCACCCAAGGTTGAGAAGCAGAAGAAGGCGGTGCCGCTTTCAAAGCAAGTCACCAATAAAATCAGCTCCAGCTCAGCAAAGCTGACTGAGCTGATGGCTTGGGAGGCAAAGGTCCAAGACAATAAGGTTTTGTATCTCAGTTTTGACTTCGATTAATTTTCTTTTTCAGTGTTTAAATGCATGTTGTCAAATATATGTCAGAAGTACCTTTTCCAGACACATGAAACTCATCTAGAGGTCTGAGACCCTGCTAAATGGATTCAAGAATGAGCTGAATGCCCGGAAGACTGCGATTGCTACTGCCAAAACGGGGTTGGAGGGTGTCTATGCCCAGATCCTGGGGAAGAGTGACCCGGAGATTCAGGGGGATTCAAAGCTTGCAGAGCTTATCCAGTCCAACCTTGCCAATGTTGAGTCGGCCTTTACCTCGTTCAATGGAACCATCAAAAGCATCAAACTGGCTATTGATTCTATGGTGATTTCATTTCTTGTGGATACAAACACCACCAATATAATATAAACTCATGATAAACTGATACTGTTTTTTGGGTGCTATCATTATTGGCTGAAGGTTCAAAGTCCTCTCTAAAGGCTTGGTTTGGATCCACAAGATATATTTTCTTTTGGTGGGTTCCCACCCCAATATCGAAATCTTAATGGTTTATAATGGTTTGATCAAGTGGGGGTTTTGATTTGTGTGCCACGCCCAGGACCCACCGACGAAGAAGGAACTGAAGGCCAAGGCCAAGGCGAAGTCTGTGGCTGCTCCCGAGGCAGCTGCAGCTGAGTGATCCAGCCTTGGCGACATGTCAGCGGAGTTTTGGCTGGGCCAAGGACATGAACCAGCAGTTAAGTAGGTGAACCTTGTGAACAACACCAATGTTGGTATAAGTTGTGCCTGGTGTCTTTTTTATCGGTTGTACAAAATTGGGGCATTCCAATGTCATTCCAACCACAAACATTAGGGACCCACCTTGGTGACATTCCAATCCATATGTTATTGTCTGGCATCAATTGTATTTTATTTATTATACAACTTGGACATTTCCATGAATCTTATATAATATCTTCACATATGTCAAGACCAGGTAATCACCACTGGGCACCGAGAAAACTCATATTACATTGAGAAATTTCCCAATGAGAGCCTTGGCCTGGAAAGATTTACCAAACTGAAACCAGATCATCTTGCGCGGCCATATGGTGGCCAAGACTTAGATGTGTGCGCGGTGGACCATGTAAGGCTGAACGAAAGAGATCACTCAGATCATTGGCTCGATGACATTGTCCCACATGTCGAAGAATTTTATTGTTTCGGTGATCGGTGTTGTCCTTTTCCCTGTTACTATTCAGCTTCTCTGGCATGAAGTCGGGCTATTCAGTTTCTTCTATCTTGTCCATGCTGAAATAAGCACACAGTGCGCCGATTGGTTCAGCCTCATGTGGTTCATGAGTTGGCCCTGGGGTTCACTATACAAATGCATTCCCCTAGCCAAGCTAGTTGATCTATGGATTGTATTTGAAATTAATCCCAAGCAAAAATATTTGAAACCAACTTGATGAAAAACAACTCTCGAGGAATTTTTATGGGGAGTATCCCAAGAAAAAATGGTTGAACAAATTGCGGGATGCTTTGTATGCTTCTCTGAGGTGAAACCACCTCATAATAAAAGGAGTCAATCTCATGCCATGTGTGTCTTGGAGCCGGCCCTGGGCAGCTTGAGAAAAATATTATGTGGGTAGTATGGGTTTATAGTTTTGCAATAATTGGGGCACCTCTTAAGTTCACATGCTGGACCCATAACATGGTTGCAATTCGTAGGGACCCAAAAGATTTCAGAGCTATGGGGAAATACATGGAAATACCAGCGATTTCACAATTTTGTTGAGACTATCATACCCCAAAATGCTTTCTTTATACAAAATCAAAATTGGTGAATACCTAATCCTATTGGCCCTGACTAGTACCATCCCCGCAGGTCAGTTGGGAGCGGGCAGTAGAACGTCTCCACTGGCTTCTTTTGTCCTGCGAGAAAGTGGTTTGGGAGGTGACCCTTGGAAGCAAAGATTTAATATGAGTTTGGCAGACCTGAGCAATGTTGTCTTATCTTAGCCCATGGGAAATCCAAGGATTCGTATCGCAAAGCCCATGAGATTGTCAACCATGTCCGCAAGGAGTGGGTGGCCAAATGTGGCCCTGAATGGTTTAGCATGTATGTCTCCTGGGGTAATGTGGGAATAGAACTATTATATAAGGGGTATTGGGTATATGAAATCCCTGTTGTAGGAGTTTGAATTTCAAGGGCATGAGCTGAAGGGGCCAGCGGCTTCACTTTTCAGTGCTGGTGCATCGGGGCGACACCAAAACAATATCAAACGTGACTGGTTTCGAAAGATGAGCAATATGGAGTATGATCACCGGGTGGCTCGGTGGAATGGCTCATGTGTTCCCACTAAGCCCCAAAAGATCCCCAAAGATTTTTTAATTACAACAATTGAGCATATCTCGTATTTGGTTGAAGTTTTTGGGTTGGGCATCCTGCCACACCAGTCAAAAAATTGAACCATGCTAACCTGCACCAAGGCACCAATTCGATATGTAGATGTTCCCTTATGGGACTATGGTGATGATGGATGGGATGATAGTGCCAAGTTTCTTGGAGTGCACTTTTCGGAATATGATTTGAACTAGGTATTCCAAAACTCAACTGACTTATGGGGTCCAGTCCCAATGCCTTTTTTTCTCCGAAGCTAAAGCTATGTCAGGCAAATGCCATATATTTCACCGGAAGATATCATCCCATGGCTCATGGCCCGTGACCTCTGGCCTGCTACACCTCAGAGGAAAATCAAACGCTTTTGGAACCACCTACAAGAGGTACAATCTGATATTGCTGGTGCTTCACCTCAAGGTAACCACCACCCACTTTGGATCTGGGGTGATGCTGCCAACTACAACAAAGACCAGAATGTGATTGTCATTTGCTTTGGATCGGTTTTGGATGATGCTACTGATTCGATCAAAAAGTGTTTCCCCTTGGTGATTTGTAGGGAAGAATCTTGATTGCCCTAATTAACATGTTTGTTGATTTTTGATTTCACAAAAAAAAAGGAAACCACCCAATGGTATAGTTTCTGGCCTGCCCAAAAGTTGAAATCAAACTTCTGAGGTTACATAGCTAGCCTTTGTTGGGCCCCGATCTCAGGAAATGAGCTGTGGGTTCTCGACATTGTCTGCCTACCTGAAGCCGGCCCCTTGTCTGCACATGATCCGTCCTCTTGTTGAAGTTCATGATCACCAGGTCACCATGTAGAACTCAGGCAGCGAGGTGTAACATTGGTGGGTCAGAAGGGTCTCTTTTGTGGCCTCTGATTTATGGACCTCAACCCGTCTGGTGGAAGAGCTTTGAAGTTTATCCCGATAAAGTTTACTTGCTAAACATCCCTATGATATTTTGAATAAATGATCCATTCATTGCAACATATATATTTATATATATTATCTCAGATTTCTAGGTGGTGAAACCAGTTGACATTGGTTTGCTTATGAGGTTGCTCAATCATTTGATCTTCTTTATCATCAAGGCATCGAGCACAATGGGACGACTCATCGCTTCTTCCTATCAGAAATTCGAGGTGATTGGAAATTCCAAAAGGACAGTCTTCGGGGAGATGGGTATGTTTACTGGGTTGGTAGTACTCCCATATAAATAATCATATGATATGTTTTGTAAAATCCCTGTGGAGGAATGGCTGAACCTGAAAAACTTTTTCCAATGTCGGCTTCTATGCCATGAATGCAAAGCTGATAAAGATACATACATGCGTCGGGCCCTACATGCTGAAAGGTATACCTTGGATGAGTTCTTCAATGAAGGTCTTAAACCTGGAGAAGTTTGTTCTTGGGCTTACTTTTGACTAACCATCTGATTTTGGGATTGTGTATTTTGTGGATTGTTTTGTTTATCCCATTATTGCCCCATTAGCATTTCGCCCCTCAAGAAGTAGCTATGTACCTTAATGGAGTTACACATGATTTCCACAATCCCACAATGTGCTTTTTTGTTTCTTATCCCTGGATCTATCTCAAGGCCCGTTACTTCAAGTACCCCACTTTTCGATCAGCATGGTGAAATGGTGTGCCATGCATGTGGTTCATCTTGGATGCGATCTTTGGCTGGTGGGAAATGCTTTGAAAACCATCCTCATTGACACAGAACTATGGGGGTCTGGCCATGATGACGAACGCCTTTTGAATGCCTGGCTGGAATTTAAAGCATGGGCCCGTCAAAACAAATGGCAGCCACTTGCACAAATACAATCAGGCCATATATATTTCACCCCTGTTGCAAAGTTGAGTGACAATATGGGGTTGCATTTTTCCCCACCTGCCAGGTGAGGGTTGTTAGATTTTATGTCAGTTGCCTCCTCCTGCCTCCTCCTGCCTCCTGCCTCGTCCTCCTCCTCCTCCTCTCCTCCTCTCCTCCTCTCCTCTCCTCCTCCTCCTGCTCAACCGCGACCCTCGACGCACAGTGTTCTCTGTCGGACCTCAACCACGACCATCCACGCCCAGTGTTCCCTGCCGGACCTCAACCGCGAGTATCCCCGCCCAGTGTTCCCTGCCGGACCTCAACCACGACCATCCACGCCCAGTGTTCCCTGCGGGACCCCAACCGCGAGTATCCACGCCAAAAGATATGCCACATAGAGTGCCAGAAGATATGCCAGATAGAATGTTAGAAGATATGCCAGATAGAATGCCAGAAGGTATGCCAGATAGAATGCCAGATAGAATGTCAGCTAGAATGCCAGAAGATATGCCAGATAAAGTGCCAGAATGTTTGCCAGATAGAATGCCAGCAGATTTGCCAGATAATATGCCAGAAGATATGCTAGATAGAATGCCAGATGGAATGCCAGAAGATTTGCCAGATAATATGCCAGAAGATATGCCAGATAGAATGCCAGATGGAATGCCAGAAGATATGCCAGAACATATGCCAGAAGATATGCCAGAAGATATGCCAGAACATCTGCCAGAAGATATGCCAGAACATCTGCCAGAAGATATGCCAGGTAGAATGCCAGAAGATATGCCAGATAGAATGCCAGATCGAATGCCAGAAAATATGTCAGATAGAATGCCAGAAGATTTGCCAGTAACAAAATGTATAAATGTCATGGTGGGGATCACACGAAGTAAAGTAATTTAAAGGGGACATTGTTTCAAACTATTTGGGTGATTTTGACCCTCTGGAATTAAATTTGAATCTCAAGATTATCCCCTATGGACAGCCCAGGCATTCTATGGGTAAGTTCTCTACAAAAGCAATCACCAGTCGTCAGCATGCCTATCCAGAACTCCAAGCGAAAGCCTGGAATGCTACTGGAAAAAGTTAGTACAAACTTTTCTTTGATCCCCGATGCAAAAAAATAGAATGGCCATGACGGCCCAAATGTGGTTTTCAAGTGCCATTAGTCTTGTGATTGGCCCTCTGCCTAGGCTCGTGTGTGTGTCGCTTGGATGGCTTCCTTTCTGGATAACTTATGCCAAAATGGACAACATGAGAATCTGGTGTTGATGAAGGAGTGTTTGTGCCTTGGCCAAACTATGCATATTAGATCTATTTAGCAGCATATATGATAGCAGATAGCATATGCATATATACATTCTATATCTCAACCCTCCTCTGCCACCAAATGCCAAAGTCGGCCCTCTTCAACTCCCTCTGGGTGATCTCGTTCTGTACGGCATCGACCTCCTTGTGCCCTGGAAGTCTTCGGACGCCAGGCGCGCCCGGGCGATGGCATGCCAGGGGCCACTTCACGATCCCGTCAGACACTTCCGGAATCCATGCCCTGTTTTGGCCGCTCACGATGGACATAGCATCATGCTATTCGACCCCAAGATTCATATCATGGCTCCACGGTCTCCTTGACATTCGTGAAGGCTAAGCAACTCGAGTTGCCAGCGCCGTTCCAACGGTAGCTTGTGCCGTAGCTGTTGATTGATGGCATTGCTCACTCACTCCCTTCCTCCCTTCCTCTAACCCTTTCTATCCTGGGGCCCCGTTCGGGATTATTTTTTCAAACGCTCATGAAGCGCTCGAACTCAGGTGCTCCATGGCTGCCTTTCACGCAACCTCAGAAAGCAGTGGCCGGTATTTGACAGTGGATCTGGCCAACATGTTGCAGCAGCAATCTGTGCCTGGGTGAGCCAATTGAATTTGATGCCAAACTCCCGACAAAACGATATCGATATCCTACATCACAAGGTGTATTGGTACCTGATGATTACATTGATCCGGGAGGAGGAGCGTTCTTAAGTTTTTATGTTTGACTGGCACATGCTGGCACATACCCCTAGCTGGCCTTAGTTCCAAAGCCCACAATTTCCAATGGGCACATTTAGCCCATTAATGAAATGCACATGAGCCTTGGGTGGGGGGTCCAATTGCAAGGATAGATGTGTTGCTACGTACATCGATCTGGCATTGGAGGCCCTGCGGCTCAATCGTTTAATGTGGCCGGCCAGGCCAAAATGGCATGTCCCCCTGCTTGATTCATTTGTTGTTTTTTACCAATTTGGTTTGGAGGCCCCAAAGGAATAAAAACAATTTGATTTTTTCATGATTCGTCATCAGCACTAAGGGCTTGCAAGAAATGGTCGCCAGACAGACCAAAGACAGATCCTTAGATTGACAATGGAAAAACATTTTTTGATCACTATGATCCCATTAAGCTATCTTAGAGGTTTAAACCAAAAGACATATTTTTTTTTGGCTGGCCATTTGCCAACTTTATAAGGATTGAACTGCAGGAAATTTCATTCCTTTCACACTGAAGACTTCATAGGGCGATTGAAGGTATGCTGTGCGGCTTCAAAACAACAAAGCTTGGAGGTGATGGCCATGTCCCGCTGGTATACTGGGTTTCTTTGGTACATATATAGCCATATGGTAGTTTGTTTGGGGAAGATATGATCCACTCAATTGAATTTTATCCTTTTTGTTGGCTCCTTGGAATCTGCCCCAGGCTGACCAACAAGAGTCACACTGCCCACTTGGATGGCTGAGACCCCCCGCAGGAAATGGAAAAAAGATCTTGGCCAGGGGTGTGGCCAAATTGTGGCCAATTGTGGCCGTTGAACCGCTGGTGCTTGGAGAAGGGTTGACTTTGGGTGGAATTGGTGCAGGGTCCCCACAAATGATAATAAATTCTTATAACATATCAAAAAACATGGAATTCTTAAAATCATCATATTTCCAAACTGTTCCCCATAATGGTCTTGGGTACCAACTGTCTCTGATAATGGTCTCCCAACCCAATCACCTTCTTAGAGAGTACTTTGGATCTATAGGGATTATATTGTTTTTTGCAGCAGGACTTCGTAAATCGTATTGGAGTGGCTGCATGAAGGCTGCGACAGTGATTTGTCAGCAGATTTTCTCCATTTTGGCACTAGTGATTTTCCTTCTAAAAATCCTTTTAAAAAGTGTTTCAAAATCGTTTTTTTTTGCTCTGGCGTCGAGATCCGGTTTTGGAGCTACAATTTCCGACGCCGTTGCGCGTAGTTCTATTGTGTTTTGCAACTCAGTCTCTGCAGATCGCATTGTAATGGCTGCGTCAAGGTTGCTTCGTGCTGTGGCTGCATTCGTAATACTATTGTCTTTTGCAGCTGGATCTCGGAAATCGTCTTGGAGTGGCTGCATGAAGGCTGCGAAATGGATTTGTTAGCAGATTTTCTCCATTTTGGCACTAGTGTTTTTTTGTTGCACGTAGGTTTAGAGCAGCGTGAAGTGTGGGGCGTGAAGAGTGCAGTGTGAAGTGTGAAGTGTGCAGGAAGCAGTGGGAAGTGAGAAGTGAGAAGTGTGGAGTGTGAAGTGTGAAGTTTAAGTTTGGAGTGCGAAGAGCGCAGTGTGAAGTGTGAAGTGTGAGGTTTGGAGTGTGAAGGAAGCAGTGAGAAGTGAGAAGTGTGAAGTGTGGACTGTGAAGTGTGAAGTGTGGAGTGCGAAGAGTGCAGTGTGCAGTGTGAGGTGTGGAGTGTCGAGGGAAGGACACGGTCGGGACAGGTTGTCTTTGAACTATAGGTCATTTATGTTTGGGAAACTTCCGCCGCCGGCTTGCCCGGGTCTATGTTATATGATGAAAATCCATTATATATATATATATGATTAAAATCCATCATATCCATTATATATGATTACAATCCATTCTATATGATTAAAATCCATGATATTGTGTCCCAAAATCGTAGAAATCCAGGGCAGCTATGGGACAAACCAGTGCTTTCACCAGCAGCTCTCTGCAGGAAAGTGCTACGATCATCTACGATCCCTAGAAGAAACGGTTGGTTAAGCGGTTAAGCGACCAGCCCAGTCAACATTCGTCAATTGGATGTCAATTGGATTCATCCAAGCCAAGATGGGAGGATGGGGTGTCGGTCTTGTGGCCTATAGACTATAGATTTGAGACATCTGCTTCGCTTCAAATCCCATGGTTGATGATCATCATGTTCTCATGTATATACTAATACATATGTATATATATATACCCATAGGATCCATGTATGGTATATGTGCTAACATTTGGGGTATATTGATGGTAAATGTTACCATATATAGCATACATGGATCCTATGGAATATATAATATGTCTTTTCCCAAACAAAAATATCCTTAACCTCTGGGTGTACATCCCAAATGTCCAGACGGAGAAGAAGCATCGTCGGAACAGAGTTCTGCCTGGTCAGTTTGACAAGTGCGACCTCAGAGCTGACTTGGAGTCGAGGCTTTATTGAAGGGTTGATCCCCCGTTCCCAACATGGGAATATCATCTCTGGTTATTTTAAAAACTTGGTAAACGGGTAAATCCCATGTTTTCACAGGGAATTCATCATGTTTATTCATCATGTAAATAACCAAAGGGTATACGAACGGGACATATCATGGGAATACCATGAGAATGTCATCTAATTATAATATATGGGAATACAATGAGTTGCTGCAATGGGAAAAAAAACCTCTGGCAATTCAACAGTTTGCTATATAGTAAGCAATGCCCTGCATAGTTCGATGATCTACCTATAGAAAATGGTGATTTTCCAGCTCGCAAAGTGCTACAAATTCATGATCAGCCATCCAACTTTGGGGCTATCCAGAAGAGTCGTACTGGATAGGAAGTACGCCATGGTTTTGTATCAAATCTTACCTTAAACCAATCAATTGATGATAGAACAACTGTGAGCATGTTGAGAAGCCAGAAACTCATCCATCACCATCACAAATGCATTCGTGTACGGTCTAATTACTGATGATCTGGGGCAACTTGATGCTGTGAATGCTGTGTAGCTAAAATGAATGCAACTCTAAATGCACACTACTCTTTACTAACAACTCATATTATATATAATTGCATAACCTCATATTCATGCAATGTAATATACTACATATGTTGTCGACTAAGTCCAGTAGCTGAGTCCCCCAGGCAGTTGCATGCGAAGCCAAATTTCTTCATCTTCTTTTGGCGTTCCTGAAACCAGCTGCGACTGGAACTAATGATATATGTGATACTAATCGTATGATATTTAAAAAAAACAAACATGGAAATGCGCGTAAGTTGCCCTTCTACCCATACTATCATATACTATCATGGGTAGGACAACTATACTATCATACTATCATATATCACATATCCCTATACTTTCATGTATGTCTGGACAAATTATAATAATTCACTAACCTGAAATAAGGCCATTTGGGGATGATTTCCCTTATTAACCATGATTTCCAGTGAGGTCGCAGTGAGGTCGTTATAATTTTCCCAGATTAATCATCATTCCTTTAATCATCCCATCAATCAGTCATAACCACTATTAATCACTATAATTGTTAGTGATTACTAGCGACTAATAGTGATCAACACAGTGGAATAGTGACTATTAACAAGTTACCCAGATATATAATAACTATATAATATATATATATATATACATAATTATATATATATATATATTATAGATATAGATTATTGTAGGACAACTCTCTCACCATGATTCCAATGATCCAATGATTGCACCTCTAGAGGCTTGCCCACCACCGATGGCACCTCGTGGCAGAAGGGTCATCAAAAAATCACTTAAGAGCCATGGTGTTTTCTTAGTTTAACCAATGTTTAACATGCTTGGACTCATGTGAGATGAGTATATACTGTGTATAATTGTATACTATACTGTATGTGTTTTTGTTTTCCGTCACATAGCAGCACTTTTCGGCGATTTGGCTTAGGTGCCAGCACTAAAATGGAATGTAATTAGGATCAAAACTGCTTGATGCGTCCAAATATGTGTTGTTTTCTTCAGTCCTGTTACTATATGAGTGGCGGACAAAATTACTTGCTACCCAGAATGGACATGGCCAAAGTGGGTGGTCCCCTATCGGTTGTGAATGTGCACAAATTTGAACATCTCGGTTGTCCACTCATTATACCCTGAAAATTGCCATGTATAGTGGATTTACCGATTAAAAATAGTGATTTTCCATAGCTATGTTAGTTTACCAGATGGTAATTACTTTAGTTTTCCGCTCATTTTAAGTTGGTTACTCACATGTTCATCATGTTCTAACTCACTGGAGATTGACAATCTGAACTTTTCGCATATGTTTTAGCCTTGACAATCCCAAGCAACTCATATTGATAGCAAGCCCTGGTGTGTCCGTTGCAGGCTTCATTCATAGCTGACTTCGGCATTCAACTGGAACGTGGAAAACCACCTCATATTCTTGGGACATATGTGACATACGGATCAAACTTCAATCAGTTGGGGGCACTTATTTATCCCAACCATCTATCCCACATTCTACCCTCTGGTAAACTAACATAACTATGGAAAATCATCATTTTTAATGGGAAAATCCACTATTTCTATGGTCATTTTCAATAGCAAACCGTTAAATTACCAGAGGGTACATGCTGCATTTCTTAACCTTTACCAGGCACCATCCACCATTTCAGTGATGTTTGAAAAAACGTTTCGCTAGCGGCTCACAATGTTCACTGAATTTTCTGGAGATCAATTTTCCCGGGAATCAAAGCTATAGACAACAAAGCAACAACGACAACAACAACAACAAGAAACAACAACACTACAATCACTTACAGGGCTGGGTAAATGTCTCATTTGGGGGATTTTGAACATCCTTTTCAAGTATTTGTTGGAGACTATATCCCCACTAGTTGGGTTATCATTTGGTTTTTTTCGCCACTGTAAACTATGATCATTTGGCTTCATTCAGCCGTTCTTATTTGTGGGTTATCCCATCTATAAATGGGTCATAACTTCTGCCTTTCCATGATCTGTACTGATCTGTCAGGATGATGACTTATGATAGTTCAGCAATGACATCATACAGCTTGAGTATTGTACAAGAATGCACTGTATAAGAATTTGAGGGGCTCGGTTTCAAGATGGGCTATATATTTTCAGCTATACCAAACACATAGCACGTTAAGAATTTGAGGGACCCTGGAATCGGACTGCCAAATTCTTAAATTACTGCTTATACGTGACCCCTTGTACTGGAGACTTCGAAATTAGGCGGGGTCCGTAGTCCTCCTAGTCCTTGTACTGGTTCAACCAAGGCCAAAAACCAGCGTAGCCGGAACAGCTACGCAGGATTCCGGCCACGACAGAGCCCAGCGCGGCCAAAACCCTGGTATAACGCAAAATCGCGCGTAGATCGTCGATCTACGCGCGTTTTTGCGTTTTCCTGGCGCCGCGGCGCCGCTGCAAGCAACCAAGGCCAAAAACCAGCGTAGCCGGAACAGCTACGCAGGATTCTGGCCACGACAGAGCCCAGCGCGACCAAAACCCTGGTATAATAACTTTTGCATGAGTAGTCAAATCTGCCAACTCCACCTCGTTTGCTTGTTTAATCTTGCTCCAAATTGTGAAGATGCCTGCAATACAATACTAAGAATGCCTTAAGAATTTGAGGGACCCTCGGCCTGTTGTAGTGTAAATTTGCCTGTATTTAAAAATAAGAATTTGAGGGACCCTGGACCTCAAGCTTTCGGATTCTTCACCAGCGCTCGGGCTGTACCCATCATTCCAGTGACATCACGACGTGAGATCGTAGAAATTAGATGTTTTGCAGATGATCCTCATCATATCTCATGTTATCCCCGCGATTAGCCACCATGTTTCATCATGTTTCATGGTGACATCACCTTTTCTCTTGGTTAAATCACCATCAAAACAAGGGTTTGTCATGGTGAAAAAACACCATTTCTCTTGGCTAAGTCCCCAGGTTAGTCACCATTTATGTTGGCTTTCTATGGAAAATTCGATGGATGTCCTATGGAACATCCCCAACTTTTCTCCAGTGACTTCAGCGTGTTGATTTCCAGGATCCAAGTGACATACGCCATCAAGACCTCATCGCCCGGAACCAAAGGACGACGGGAAACCTTGGCCGCCCGTCCGACGCGAAGAACAAGTTTTCGAAAGAACACCGGGGGAGCAACTGGGACGACATGCAGCACTATGAGAGGATCTTACAACTGATGTATACTTAAATATATGATAATATATGATCATGTATATATATTGTATTCTATGATTACATAGATTGACATAGATTGACATAGATTGACATAGATTGACATAGATTGACATAGATTGACATAGATTGGTTCAATTGAATGTTCACAAAAACAAGCCATGGGTTGCTCATCATTGGATAACAGCAACAGTTTCCTGCATTTTAAGATCGATTTTTTGCCACTTACCAGTAACAGGAGGGGCCCCACAACGATTGATGCTGCATGTCAGCCCCTTTCATTATGGTAGATGTTGGTAAGAAACCATGGTTGTTTAACAGTTACCTGGATAAACCATTCTAATTCAATGTAACTGAATGCAACACCCCAGCAAGCCAAATAGATTGCAGCCCTTTGATCTACAGTGGATGAAACTTAGTCATGAGTATGGATTACACTGGATTACATAGACAATCTTAGATACCCATTTGAAGTCAACATAAGTCAACCCACTGAGAAAAGAACGAAAAAAACGAGGCGGCCATTCCCAACACGGTGACACCCAAAACGAAGCTCCCAAAGAAGATGATCATGTTGGCTTGTAGTTTATAGATGTTTATAGTAACCCTCAAAAAGATAGAAGATGATAGAAGTTCCCATCTTCAAAACTTCAAAAATCGTTGCAAATTGAAGCGTTTCTATCTCAGCCTGGGGATGAATTTAGACATAGAAATAGACCAGGGCCCCAAGATAGATAGACAACTGGGAAACCTAGAAATATGGTGTAAATATAATCTATAGCATCCCCGGAAACACATCTCTATCTTTTTGGGGCTTGACATAGACCAATCTCCAGAATACCGAGAGCCCTTGAAAACGACCGGATGAGACCAGCTGTGAGTGAAGTCCAATTCGATGTAGCAAAATAAACAATTCTGAATGGCATCACCACAGTTTAATATATAGATTATTACTAGGACTAATCCATACTTAGTGGTGAAATATTATATTCATAATTCAATAATACATAGAGTAATCCATAATAATCCATAGTTAGTACTGACTACTAGCTATTCTTGTCAGCCATTGCTTATAAATCTTATAAGTTAGCGCAGCCTTGCCCCCAAAATCCAAAAACTCCATTGAGATTCAGCACGTGGCTCTTAGTGGCGAATCTTGGGTTCCACAAAAAACAAATGTGTCACATTTTGCTGGTCAAAAAACCAGCAAAAAACACAGATTTCACTTGTGAAAAAAAATAAATATAAATATAAATATATATATATATATTTAGGTCAGTCAGTAATCCCTTCGCGATTTGATCATCTAGTAATTAATCTAATTAATCTGTACAGCAAAAGCCTGGTGGAATGGCTTGGATCCCATGGGTCCCATGATCCCATCCACTTCACCAGCCACGCAGTAGAGCCAAAGACCAGGCCCATTGGCCTCGAATTGGCTCCTGTCCGGAGATCCCATCGACATCCCATGGCAAATTGGACATCCACAGGGATTGGGTCCAACTTGCAATGTTAAAAGTCTGGGTCACAAAAAAACATGGATGGTCGATGATGCTCGATGGTGGCCTGTGATGGTCAAAATGATGATGGTTTATGATTCATGATGGTTAAGATTCAACACGACCCAAAAAAAATTGCGCAGGCTAATGCTTGCACATGAGAAGATTGTCCAGTCGGACTGTCCAGTGCAAATCACTTCAGATCGGTCTGCCATAGTGTTGAAACATGTTGTCTTTCCTTGGGTTGGCTTAGGATTGGTGATCCCGGCATTCAAATTTTCTGAAATGACCTTCCAAAACTATGAAATTAAATCTGAAATTAGAAGACTTCTTGGTGGATCCCCCTTCAAACCAGCAACTTGACATATACACTGGTTGGTGGTTGACCTAGCCCTCTAAAAAAAATGACTTCGTCAGTTGGGATGATGACATTCCCAATATATGGAAAAATGAAAATGGTTCCAAACCACCAATCAGTATAATATATATATATATATCACCTTTTCAAGTGAGTCCCAGTTCGCCATTAGTCCCAGGCTCCAAGGGTCCGCCCCACGCCGCGAACCCTGAAGCAAATTCCACGCGGCAGTTGGGCAAACAGGAATGGTTGGTAAACGCCAGGGCCTGGAAGACCACGAGGGTTTTTTTCGAGCCAGGAACAGAGAGTGTTTTTTGGGCATGTTGAACATGTTGTGGATCATTTCTCCAAACTCATCCAATGTGAAATAGTATTGGATCGATTCATTTTGGTCCATTGGGGCATTTCATACGTATAGGGGCAAGCATTGTCCAAATAGAACGGGAAACTAGTTGAAATCACCACCCCAATGATACTGCTCCCCATAAAAAGATAAATAAGCACCGGACGTTTGGGGTACTCCTCAACTGTAACCGTTGTGTCATGGTTGACAAGTTCTTGTGCAGGAACCAGCAATGGATAAATCAACCTTGGAATTGCAAGCAAGAGTCCGCGGGCATTCACAAACCATTAAAAAAAACCTGGGTCATAACAAAACAAAATAAAATATAATATGACATAATATATAATAAAATTATAAACAAAAAACAAAAAATCATATATTATATATATTTATGTGCAGAATCCAATTCCCTGGATTGCCGCAATAAATCCATAATGATGCGGGGTGCTGGGCAAGCCGACCTGCGATGGAAAATCCCATTCAAAGATCCGTGCATAGATGGTCTCCATATGAGCAGTGTGAAATAAATCCCTCCATCATTCCATGAAATACTGGTTGGTTTATAGGGATTCCCCGTTCTTGGATTACTATCATCCCCAATATATAAAGGGTAGTACAATCCCCGAACTAATCATCAACCAACAGGGGTTTAGCAGCCACTGCTCATATGCGCCGGCAGAGGCCTCACACAGCGCTGTGCCGATGACGTTCCTGAGATCAGCTTGGACATGGATTTCCGATCCCAGTACTTGAACATATCAACAAACAACAAACGAAAAATCCAGGAAACCAACAGCAAAAACACAGCAGAATCATCTATAATCAACAGAAATATTAACCCAACTCCATGGGATTTCATGACCCAAAAAGACCCACTTTGGTCGCTGACTCAAAGAGCTGTCCACTGGCCGCGAGGTCCAGCGGCGCCTCAGGCCCGTGATGGATGTCATAGATGTGTGTACACATACATAGACATACATAGACATACATAGACATACATAGACATACATAGACATACATAGACATGCATAGACATACATAGACATGCATAGACATACATAGACATACATAGACATACATAGACATACATAGACATGCATAGACATACATAGACATGCATAGACATACATAGACATAGACATAGACATACATAGACATACATAGACATACATAGACATAGCATAGACATATGCATAGACATACATAGACATACATAGACATAGACATGCATAGACATACATAGACATGCATAGACATACATAGACATGACATAGACATACATAGACATACATAGACATACATAGACATACATAGACATAGACATACATAGACATGCATAGACATACATAGACATGCATAGACATACATAGACATACATAGACATACATAGACATACATAGACATACATAGACATACATAGACATACATAGACATGCAAAGACATACATAGACATGCATAGACATACATAGACATGCATAGACATACATAGACATACATAGACATACATAGACATACATAGACATACATAGACATACATTGACATACATAGACATGCATAGACATACATAGACATGCATAGACATACATAGGCATACATAGACATACATTGACATACATAGACATACATAGACATGCATAGACATACATAGACATGCATAGACATACATAGACATACATAGACATACATAGACATACATAGACATGCATAGACATACATAGACATGCATAGACATACATAGACATACATAGACATACATTGACATACATGGACATACATAGACATGCATAGACATGCATGTCTATGCATAGACATGCATAGGCAGGCATAGAGATGCATAGACATGCATAGACATACATAGACATGCATAGAGATGCATAGACATACATAGACATACATAGACATGCATAGACATACATAGACATACACAGACATACATAGACATACATAGACATACAGACATGCATAGACATACATAGACATACATAGACATGCATAGACATACATAGACATACATAGACATACATAGACATACAGACATGCATACATACATATATATGGTTGGTGGTCTCAACCCCTCTGAAAACATTAGTCAGTTGGGATGATTATTCCCAATATATGAAATTTAAAACATATTCCGAACCACCAACCAGATATAAATAGTGTCTTTGTGGGATATGTAGTACCTATGCGGATATTGTGGAATCACATGAAACTCAACAAATAATATCAGAGAATATGAGCAATGAATAGGTATAATCACACGTATAAAATAGTTTTGCAGACATGATACAGGTTCAAACCATATGATTCCAGCAAATAATAAATGCATACAATACATGTATATAGCGACTATATGCTTCTATGTACTTTATCGATACATCATGATATTACATTATGTAGTTATGTACATACATGTACATACTACATGTACATTCGTAATGTGTATGATATGTCGCTCTACTATTACTATATATGATCAAACATATTCTGTATAATATTGTGTGATTATGTAATATGTATAATATATATATACATATCATACAGAGAGAGAGAGAGAGGGAAAAACAACCTATCAGAACCAGATAAACACGACCACCTGCAACTCCCTGCCTGCGTCGCTGCCGCTTCTGCTTCCCCTCAGCATTCAAGCTGAACAAAATCCATGGCCATGGCTCAAAAATGGGGTACCAATGGACCCATAAAATCTGCCATTGTTGTATTTAACCAGCAACGGAGCTTTTAGATCTTTCTATAATATATATATATATATAATATTATGTTCTAATTATATCTAATTATTCTATTCTCAACTGTGCGTCATTACCAGAGGCTCAATCAACTAAAAGCGGGATGATCCACTTGACCCATGTTGCTTCCCGGACTGCACCTGCACCTTCATCTTCATCCTCAAAAGAGCAAAAAATGATCTATACATCAGTATGGGATTTAAGTTGACAATGGACCATATCATTAGTGTGTTTAATGGGAAAACATGTGCTTCCTTAAGTAATATTTGCTCTTGTTTGTAAGTCTTTCAAATACTATTGGGTTACCTCATTGATTTTTCAAAGTGTCAGCCTTGATGTTTGAGATGACGTGCAGGGTTTCTCGACGGAGACTAGACAAGAAAAAAACAGCGACGCTCATCTAAATGTGAGATGATGAATCCCTTGCTTAGTGGGTCAAGTCAAACCCTCCAAAATTGAGGTAGTTTGGGTTTGACGTTCCTCATCCCCAACCTGAGGCCTCTGATAATGGCAAATGGCGGAGCAAACGAAAATCCAATGTCAGATCTGTGATCTGTGGTCAATGCCAAATTTTATCTAATTGGTGGTTTCAACCCCCAATAAAATATAAGTCAGATTGGATCATCATCCCAACTATTGGGGAAAATAAAAAATGTTCCAAACCACCAACCAGTTATATTCATGAGCAACCTCTGGCATGTTTTAGGGTGTTACCATTTCACATGGATCCAAACGCACATTGACCAGCACGTTTCTGGCAAAACTTGTGGCACCTCCAAACTTCAAAGGTGCAAAACTGGAATATCACCTGTATTTATAGCGTTTTATGATCTCCCTAGAGTTCTCAATTCTTGGAAGAGTGCATGGTTCCAACGGTCCTCCGCTTCGCTGTCACTTTCTTGCAAGGCTTCCTACCAGGTGTCGGGCCACCCAAAAATCGTGGGAGTAATTCTGGTGGTGTCCAGACTTCCCCAACCATCAACCCATGAAAAGTATACAAGAGTGTGATCCCTAGGGGCTGCATCAACAGTCCAAAGCTCTCCAGACTTCGGTGATGAAATCCAGGCATCTCGCTCAGGTGGTAAACCAGTGAATCCACGCAAATCAACTCGATCATCATAGTATGTTCATGTCATTTGAAATTCATTTGATCATTTACATTGAAATATACAATAATAGAAATCAATAATGTTATGTCATTTACACGCATTTACTGGGCTCATTTCCCTATGTTTATGATGAGTTTCTTCCATCCAAACATGGCCAGGCCAGACGACTCAGTCGCCTGCAGCTTCGCCAAGGATTCAGCTAGCTCCACGCCTCGCCGGAAAAATCTGGAACGATTATGACATCTGGATGTGATTTATGGACAATCATTGGATGATGATAGTTGGAAAAATTGGAAAATTGGAAAAAATAATGAGATTAGATTCATCCAACTTCATGATTTTTCCAATTTTCTTATGAAATCTGGATGAGATTTGGAAAAAAAACACAAAAAAAACATCGATCTTCTCCAAAAGACCAACAGAATGCCGGGCGAAAGTCCATGGCTTGACCGGGTTGACCATGTCGCCAGGAGGCTCAATATGTCGGCCACTTCCGGCTGGAGATTGAGAGGATGAGGGATGCTCACACACCTTGGGGCGAGCCGAAGCTGGCTGATGGCGATTTTTACCATGGCTGGCTTGTGGCTAGCATCACGTCCCAAAACATCGAAACATTTTGTAGCCGGCGCAACTTGACGGCTCTTGTTGTACTAAAACAAAGTAAAAGAATCCAACATTTGAAGAAACTAAGAATTAGAAGGGCAGTCAAGTCGACTTGATGCCCTTGCCGGCTGCCCCTTCGAAGCTGTTCAGCCGCACGGGCCACAGCCGTTTGTTTCTTGTGCTGATCTGTGACAAAGATCTGGTGGGATGTGACACTGGTTAAAGATGTATTCAAATGATGTAATATCGATTATCTACATATATAAACATATATACCTTATGGGCTGCGTCAGCCTGTTTGTCTGTTGTGTGACATGGCCCAGAAGCCGCTCCCAGCTACTCCCAAAAATATAGACACTATTTGCACCTTAAAAAGAGAAAAATCACAGAAAATACCTATAAGAAGGACAATCAAGAACACTATGTGAAAAAAGTACATGAAGACACAACTGCGGACACTTTCAGAAAGTGCGAACAAATAATATACCAGTCTGGTTGGTGGTTTCAACCATCTTGAAAAATATTAGTCAGCGGGATGGATTATATTGTCCCATATATGAAATGGAAAATAAAATTCATGTTCCAAACCGCCAACCAGCAGTATATGTATTATCAGTATGTGTAAACCTTGTCTTTAGGACGATGGGAGATATCACAAAGATATCTGGGTGCAGCAACATGTTGACCAGCTCAAAAGTTCCCAACAGCCTGGCAGCGGAATGCAATCCGCTAAGGTTCCCAACAAAAAGTGTTTTTAAGCAACTCGGAAAAACATTTACAGTAGATCTATGATGATCTATGATTATTCTGATAGATCTATGATTTCTCTATAATATATACATATATAGAGTACATATATATGTGATATTTGGATTAGCTTGATCCAAATGTTGCAAAGCACCGAAAAATGAACAGTGCCCCCAAAAAACATCGATCCGCGCACCCGCTCAGCAGGTTGGGTTCCAAGAACTCGGATTCTGCGGGGAAGATCTGCCCTAAGAACTCACACGCCTGGCAGATCAGAGAGCACACGACGGGTGCACCGTACTGCCATGAGATGGGGATGGTCTTGGATCATCTTGGAACTAGTTGCCGATCCATGTTCAACATATGTAATAAGCCAACATAAACATGCAAACCAGGTATGTGATGATATATATATAGGCTTTTCCAACCCCTCGGAACTATGGACAGCATTCACACGCTACGGAGAGCAATCTCATATATAGTGACATTCCGGTCATCAGCAAGTATATTTAGAAAGCAGACTCATGTTACAACATCCCTGGCATGTCCTGTGAATACCGTTGAAATACGTTAAACATGGTTGAATCTGACACAACTTAGCGATGGGGGCCATACCGTCCGTGTCCAGCCTGTGCAAACCATTGATCCCTCGCCTCCACCAGGCGAATGAGAGATCAGCAAGTTCCCGACCATTCAAAAAGGGCTGTAAATAGGAATACCAGGAATGGCTGAAGCAACCAGGATGTTATATAACCACATCATTTTGTCTGGTAAAATTGAAGTAAAACGATCACATTGCCAGTCACGAATCCAGTGAAATTCACTTTGTGCATGAGACAACCCCAGCATTGTGCACGAGGAAAACCAGGAAAACGAATTGCACTCCGGTAAACTCACAGTTTGCTATGGAAACTGGACCATTTAGTTTAAGTTCGATGATTTAAGTAAGTACCTTAAAAAAAAGCTGGTTTCCATAGCTATGTTTACCAGAGGCTACTCATCTACGAATTCATTTACATGGCTCTGGGTCAAAACCCTGATGCCCCGGTGAACACCAAAATCGCTGCTGTCAGGGGATGTTCATCCTCTGCAAATATAGTGTCATATGGATTGATATGGTATACTATCTATATATCTATAAATAATCTATAATATATCGTGTGTATAAGTTTATCATCTACAATGAACGAAATAATGGTATAACATGGTATAATATCTATTATAGTACCGTATCCATTGGTATAATTTATATACTATTTATGTGATATACCGAGCCAGATAGGCCGGCCTGCGCATCTTCAGCCGTGTCCGCCTCAAGCAACGTTTTGCAGCCTTCAGATGACCCACAAGTAATCTCAACATAATCCTACCATCTGGGTAAAATTTTAATAATTTACCAACCTGAAATAATACCATTTGGGAAGAAATTCCCCGAATCCTGACCATTATTCCAGTGAGGTCGTTATACTGAGGTCGTGATGAAATTTACCCAGATTTATATGGCAGTGGAATATGTCCATCTTCATTGGATAATGGGACTTAGAATGGATGACTTTCCGTTGCCACGATTGATGTAAATAGTAGAAGACTTTGGCAACTGGAGTTTGGTTACTGGGGACTGGAGACGACCTGTCTTCGGCATGCTTCATGTCCAAGCTCTTTTTTTGGCATTCAAGACATGTCGAAGAAATATCACGGCATTATGGGGGTTGGTCATAATGAACGCATTGTTCGCTTTTCTTTGAGACATTTCAACAGTTGCTGGATGATGTTGGATGAATGTCACCCCCCACCGCTGGTGTATGACCGTGTCATACACACCATTTGAACCATATCATATAGGGATATATAGGGCATGTCCAAAATCGCGATCACCTCCCCGAAAAATAGCCATCCAGCGATCCAGCAAAAATCTCTGGCCGGTGGTTGAGCCACCCCCCACATGCATGTGCGCAAGTCAGTTGAGATATGTTGAGATCATCATCCCAAACCCATGACGGATCCACGGTATATATATGCTAACATGACTGGGGTATATTGATGGTAAAATATGGGATCCATGGCACACCATATATAGCATACCTTTAGGATCCTTCATGGGAAATACTAGATCCCCAGGGTTGAACTTAAAGCGTTGTGACTGCGGTTCCACCATCATCCACTCGAACAAAATCCTCCAGGATTTTGGATTCCACTGGGGTCACTGACCAAACTGCTCCAGGGTGCAGACGCAAACTGATACGCAAAACGGTGTTTGACCTGGATCTAAATGGCCCACGGTGATAGGGAAAATGATGATGAAATATTGCTGGTTGGTGGTTGAGCCCTACCCCTCTGAAAAATGATGGACTGAAAGTCAGTTGGGATGATGACTATATATGGAAAAATAACAAATGTTCCAAACCACCAACCAGATTGGATTTAGACTTAGAGACATTCCGAAACAACGAGACTTCAAGCAATTTCAGATTTTTTTGGGAGACTTAAGGGGACGGAATCTATTGGATATTTCCGAAAATGGAGGATCTCCAAGTCACCCTGGTTGTTTCCATACTGAAATGGTCTAATTTTGGATGGTTTGGAGGGACCCCTGTTTTGGGAAACCTCGAAATGGTTACCGGCAAGGTCTGGAAACACAGGTCCGACAGGTCCCTCCGTGTTTCCTACTTCCAGCAGACCAAACAACTGGCGGAAAACATGAACATCCTCATGTGGATGCAGCAGACATCTCCATAGGGGTACGGGTCACAAGAATGACATAGCATGACTGCAATCCCCTGAAAAATCCTGAATCATATTATACTGCGCTGGTGGTTGACCTACCCCTCTGAAAAATGATGGAGTGAAAGTCAATTGGGATGATGATATATTCCCAATATGATGGGAAAGTCATAATCCACTCCATGGTTCCAAACCACCAACCAGTGTATTTATATACATATATAATATATATATATATAGAATTATATAGATAGCACCATTTTTTATGGGTAAATCATGGTAAATCCTCTATTAATGGGTATAATATGAATCATAATCCATGGTTAGACCCTGCTGGGGACCATCATCCCAGGACGGTGAACCACCCTGCACCCCCAAGATCCCGCCTGCGAAGTCTCGAAACCATCCTTCCTGTCGCTGCCAAAGCGATGCGTTTGGATCCCATTGGCAGACCGCGTTCGGATCCCTTCGGATCCGTGGAAAAAGTTGCCAATGATGGAACTTGGGTCTCCCAAATTCTCCAAACCTTTGGGATATGTATTGTTAGCTCTTGAAATCTGAGACATGTTGAGACATCGCACCATCCAGAAATCGACTTTAGGCATCATCACGTCATGGAACTCATTGTTTATGTTTGGGTGTTTCGTTTCCCACTTCATCAGCGAGGGTTTCTTAGGCTCTGAGTCTTGAATAGTCTTGACTGTCGGAATCAATGTTGATCATGGAGTTGATCTGTAGAGATGGATGATTGCATGTTGTTACGAAGTAGGATCATTATCGGGTGTACCACCCTGCGTCTGTCCGTTGAAACAATATAAACAATGAAGAAAGGACAGTCTTCTCCGGCAGGGGCTCATTTGCCCAATGAAAGTCAATGAAGCTCCAGCTGAATTTCCAGCTGGGGTGAGACCAAGCGAGTTTCTTTGGGCGGAAGATCAGCTTGAGACATCGACTTTGCTATCCAAGCCAGTTTCTGTTGACAAAGCGCCGCTAAGTCGTCTTTGAATTCCTCGTCAAAACTGGGTCAAAACTGAGATTTATTCAACTTCCAGTACTACGACTACGAATTGTCCGGTGAAATCAAGATATAGAGAATTGGATCTTGTAAAAATCAATGGAAGAATATGAATAACCTGGCATCTCTCAAGTCGGGACAGGAAATGTTCATGGGCCAACTGCGGGGAATTCTTTCCAGCAAAACAAGTTTGAAACCACCACCATTAAAATGCAATTGCATTTAACGATTATATCTAACGTAGTATCCAAGAGTCATACTCTTCCAGTATGTCGACCGCTTCTCGCAAGAGCTCCGCTGCCTGTGTGAAGAACTGTGAATCCTCTGTCGCGGTCTGAGAAACATATTGAGCATCAGAGACAGCCTTTTCTTGCAGCGCTTCCCTTGCGATACGGCCCTGCTTCAAACGCATGCTACCAAAGTTGTACAGCCGTCGGGCATTCATTGGCATTTTCAGTGTGCCAGTCAGAGTTCGAACGCGACCAGCTGCTTCAAACATCTCAGCAGACACAGCAAAATCTGAGCGAAGGGAATGTAAAAGACCCAGGTTGTTGTAAGTCTTGGCACCTTCTTCAGTATCTTGCAAACCATGCCTGGATGGTTACGCTTGAGCCCCTGCCCTAGAAAAGCAACTATAATATACTATCTATATATATATATACACACTATAATCATGAGGATGATCATCCAAATTGTGGAGTGAAAACTAAGGGTAATAACTTCTAATACTAGTTGAATTGAGAATATGTAAACCTTTTGCCGAAGAAACTAACCAAAAATCAAGGCAAACGCCATCAACATCATCGACCAGATGCCCTTTCAAAATCTCCAGGGCCGCTTGCATATCTCTCAAAGCCTTCTCCAAATCTGTCGCGGGAGGGCAATGGTCTGAGAAGAATTCATCTGGTTCATCCCGCACCAAGGCTCTTGCCCTTGCGCGTAGGAGCTTGCACCCAGCAATGCTATCTGAAGCACCCAACTGCCGCAGTTCATCTAGACCTGTGGTGTAAAACTCTGTGGCACTTTGGTGCAAGCCCCTTTTGTGCTCGATCCAACCACGTTCGTGCCAAATGTTACCCACATCAATGGCCATTTCATCCCTGGACTGCTGAGACTGGGCATGCCAGGTGATAAGACTTGTTTTGGTTGACAGACCGAAGTCCAAAATCGATGCCGCCTCATCCAAAGAAGAGAAAGCACTCAGCAACTTCCCAACTTGGGAACAGGCCTTCAGCATTTTCAGGGGGAGCTCTTGTACATGTTTACCTTGGTGGTTTGTTGATCTGATCGCCTGCTACAAGTTACTCAAAATTATATACTCAACTTGGTTGGATACGTGGTGGTGTTAATCCACCTTAACGCCATAAAAAAAACTAGCACAAAATTACAACATGCTGAAGATCCGCAGTCAGTGTGTGGCTAAACACCTGCCAGCTACTGGCAGAATGCAGAAACCAGCTTTGGAGATGCCTCTTAAGCTGTGCATCAAAGAGGCGCCTCCCCTGCCCACTGTCCACCAGTCGTAGGATATTCTCCTGATCTGCTGGCACACTGGCCCGGGCCGAACTGATGGATGCCTCCCGTCGGGTGGTGTAGATTTGCTCGAAACCAGCGCCATTCATAAGGCTCATGGTCCATTGTTCCTGGTAGCCGGCAGCCGGGGTTTTTCACCAGCCTTCAAGATGAACGTCCCAAGGAAAGTCAACCTTAACCTCTGGTAATCGAACTTGGTGATGGAAAATCCATGAAAATCCCTCATTGGAAACAAATTCAATTTTCCCATGAAAACATATTAAAACCTCCATAATTTATAGGGTATGTCCTAGCCAGCCATGTTTGATTACCAAAGAGTAATCAGATGGAGCCATCTCCCATTTTCTAGTATTGGAAAGCAAATTTAAATTTCACCATGTTTTGCCCACCATTCCTCCTCCTTGGGAGGCATCAAAATCGTGAGCTCACAAGCAGTGCCCAATTGAATGGCTGTGTGTAGTTCCAACATACACCAACTTCGCTCAAGGTATGCTGGAGCATGCCAAGGCATCATGAGGGCAACAATCCTGGCCAATTTTCAGCATTTTTTAGCACCGTTTTTACAGGATTGATTTCTAGTATTATACAATTTCCGGAAGATTCCCGGAGATACTCAAATTGAGCACCCACACCCCGTGGTTTATGCCATGCGAATCATCCAAAACTTGCTGAGGTCCAAGATGGTCCAAGTTGCTTGCCGATGCTTTTCACACGACCCTCGAAGACCTCTTTGAATTCCTCGAATGGGACAACTTCGCCCTTTCGCCTCATCTCTTGCACGCGATGCTGGTTGACACAGGCCCAGCACATCCAAATGTAAACCTCTTTGGGATCTAAAAAGCTGGCCCTGGACCAATGCTCAAGGCTGTCGGCAATGTCTCCAATGGCATACTTCCAGGTATAAGACAACCTCGCAAGCCAGCGATGGGACTGTCCCAAAGCATATTGCAAATCAAAACGGTTGGATAAAGCTGGCTTTAAAATTCGCTGTTTTGAATGACAAAGTCTGAGGATTTGCTACCTGGTCCTCTTTGAGTCAATCACATACTTATTCATACTTGGGTTTGTCTGAAAGTGGGATATAGCCATCTATACCCCCACTATCCCCAATTAAAATATATTAAAATCATGTAAGGGAGTCATACCCTGAATTTTCAGGTACCAACAACCTGATAGAAGCCACGAACCCGAAAACATGTTTTAAAAGTTCACGTAGAAGAAGGGTTCCTACAGAACAATAAAAAGCGAACAGGAAATGCTCGATCGCATTGAAAACCACTCTTGCAGAACACTCTTGCTGGACACTCTTCTCGGACAGTCGTGTGGGACACTCTTGCGTGACACTCTTGTGGCATACTCTTGTGAGATACTCTTGTGGGACACTTTTATGGGACACTCTTGTGAGACACTCTGGCCTGACACTCTTGCTCGACACTCTTGTGGCACACTCTGGTAAAACACTCTCTCTCAATACTCTGAAACACTCTTGTAAGACACTCTTTTTGGACACTATTGCTTGACACATCTGGAACACCTCGCAGTACTACTTTGTACTACCAAGCGTCCACGCAGTACCTTGCAGTAATACTTTATACTGCAAATCTTGCACGGAGTAATTCCCAGTACCACTATGTATAGCGCATACCCCAAAGATAGAAGATATTCAGCTACCATTTTTGTACCCCATCTTCTATGTTTCTTGTTTTCTGAAAGGCGTTTTGGGAAGAATCACATAGAAGATACTATGTCAAAATAGGGCCAAAACCAGGGTCGGAAAGGATTTTGGAGACCGCTTGGAGGACCATGATGCGGATCCACTTTTGGATCTTCTATCTTCCCGGTAATTTTTGACCCCCATCTTCTATCTTTCTTCCACACTTCAAACTCTCCACTGCGCACTTCGCTCTCCACACATCACACTCTCCACTCCACACTTCACACTTCACACTCACACTCTCCACTCCATACTTCACATTCCACACTCCACGCACTCCACGCTTCACACTTCTTACTCTCCACTGACCACTCCACACTTCAAGCTCCACACTTCGCACTCCCCTTCACACTTCACACTCTCCAATCCACACTTCACACACCACACTCCACACTTCAGACTCCATATCACACTTTGCAACCTGCACTCCACACTTCACACTCCACACTTCACACTTCACTCCACGCTCCACACTTCACAACTCACACTTCACAACTCACACTCCACACTGCTTACTCCACACCTCACACTTCATACTTCCCACATCACACTTCACACTCAACACTTCACACTTCACACTCCACACTCCACACTTCCCACATCACACTCCACACTCTCCACTCCACAATTCACACTCCACACTCCGCACTCCACACCCCACACTTCACACTCAACACTCCACACTCCACACCTTCAGACTTCACACTCCACACTTCGCACTCCACACTTCACACTCCACACTTCACACTTCACACTTCCCACATCAGACTCCACACTTCACACTTCGCACTTTGCAGCATGAAGTCCACACTTCACACTCAACAATCCCCACTCCCCACTCCACACTTCACACTGCACACTCCACACTTCACACTCCTCACTTCATACTCCAAACTTCACACTTCACACTTCACTTCGCACTTCACGCTGCAAACTCCAAAGTCCACACCTCACACTGCACACCTGACACTGCACACTTCACACTCCACACTTCCCATTTCACAGTCCACACTCCACACTTTCCAGACTTCACACTCCACACTTTGCACTCCACTTCACACTCCACACTTCACACTTCACACTCCACACCTCACACTCCAGACTTCACACTTCACACTCCATTTCACACTTTGCACCATGAACTCCACACTTCACACTTCACACTCCACACTCAACACTCCACGCTTTCCACATCAGACTCCGCACTCCGCACTCCACACTCTCCACTCAACACTTCACACTCCACACTCCACGCTTCACACTTAACACTTCACACTCAACACTCCCCGCTCCACACTCCACACTTCACACTCCACATTCCACACTTCACACTCGACAATCCACACTCCACACTTCACACTCCACACTTCTATACACTTCTCACTTCAGACTCTCCACTCCACACTCCACACTTCACACTCCACACATCACACTCCACACTTCACAAGCAACACTTCACAAACAACACTTCACACTTCACACTTCACACTCCACACTTCACACTTCACTTCACGCTCCACACTTCACACCTCGCACTCCACACTTCTTACTCCACACTTCACACTTCACACTTCCCACATCAGACTCCACACTCAACACTGCACACTTCACACTCGACACTCTGCACTTCACACTCTCCACTCCACACCCTGCTTCTCACACTCAACATTCCCCACTCATCACTCCACACTCCACACTTCACACTGCACACTCCACACTTCACACTCACTCCACACTTCACACTTCTCCACTCCACACTTCACACACCACATTTCACACTCCACACTTCACACTCTACTCCACACTTCACAATCCACACTCTCGACTTCACACTCTCCACTGCGCACTTCACACTCCGCACTTCACACTCCACACTTCACACTCCACACTTCACACTCCACACTTCGCACTCAACCACTCCACCACTCCACCACTCCACACTGCACACTTCACATCCTCCACTGCACACTTCACACTGCACACTTCACACTTCACACTCCACACTTCACACTCCACACTTCGCACTCAACCACTCCACCACTCCACCACTCCACACTGCACATTTCACATCCTCCACTGCACACTCCACACTGCACACTCCACACTCTCCACTGCACACTCCACACTTCACACTGCACACTTCACACCCCACACTTCAAACCCCATCACCCCACACTTCACACTCCACACTCCACACTTCAAACTCCACACTCCACACCTCCCACTCCACACTTCACACTCCACACTTCACACTCCACACTTCGCACTCCACACTTCACACTCCACACTTCACACTCCACACTTCGCACTCCACCACTCCACTCGTCACATTTCACACTCCACACTCTCCACTGCACACTTCACACTCCACACTCTTTGCACTGCACCTTTTCCCACTTTTCCCAAAGACACCGTGGCGACACAAACATCAGAGAGCCGCGAAACAACTTTCGCTTGAGTGCCAGAAAGCCCCAGGCCTGCCACGCGAAATCCACTTTCACACGTCACAACACATCACCTTTTCTCACTTTCCCCATAGACAGCGCGGGGCGTAAACATTAGAGAGCCGCGAAGCAACTTTCGCCTGAGTGCCAGAAAGCCCCACGCCACGCGAAATGTACTTTGACACGTCACAAAACATTACCTTTTCTCACTTTCCCCATAGACAGCGGGACGACGCGATCAGAGTTGGAGCAACTTTTGCCCGAGTGCCACAAAGTCCGACGCTTTGCCACGCGAAATACATTTTCACACGTCAGAAAACATCAGCTTTTCTCACCTTCCCTAAAGACAGTGGGACGACGCGATTAGAGGGTCGGGGAGCAACTTTCCCCTGAGTGCCACAAAGCCCCAGGCCTGCCACGCAAAATCCACTTTCACACGTCACAACACATCACCTTTTCTCACTTTTGCCATAGACAGCGCGGGGCGTAAACATTAGAGAGCCGCGAAGCAACTTTCGCCTGAGTGCCAGAAAGCCCCACGCCACGCGAAATGTACTTTGACACGTCACAAAACATTACCTTTTCTCACTTTCCCCATAGACAGCGGGACGACGCGATCAGAGTTGGAGCAACTTTTGCCCGAGTGCCACAAAGTCCGACGCTTTGCCACGCGAAATACATTTTCACACGTCAGAAAACATCAGCTTTTCTCACCTTCCCTAAAGACAGTGGGACGACGCGATTAGAGGGTCGGGGAGCAACTTTCCCCTGAGTGCCACAAAGCCCCAGGCCTGCCACGCAAAATCCACTTTCACACGTCACAAAGCATCAGCTTTTCTCACTTTCCCCATAGACAGCGGGACGACGCGATTAGAGGGTCGGGGAGCAACTTTCGCCTGAAGCCACAAAGTCCCACGCCTGCCACCCGAAATGCACTATCACACGTCACAAACATTCTCTCACTTTCCCCAAAGACAGCGGGACGGCGCGATTAGAGAAAAAAACCAAAACGACGAGCAAACAATCCACCACCCCCAGACCCCCAAGAAAGAAAACAAGAACCCATCGCTACGCATTCGGGAAAAACCAACAGAACCAAACCATCACCCAGCAACATGTGCGTGGCGGGACCCACATTCTCTTCGCCCTCGACGGCATCCACGAAGGCTGAACCCAAGGAAGAATCCTGATATTTTATTCTATGAAGGAACCCCAAATGATGATGCAATGCTGACAATTTGGGTTTTAATCCTTGAAAATTGGATTAAGAAAACAAAGGATGTACCCTGAATTACCCTCTCGTCACCAAACATGGCAATGGAACACAGTAGAATAAAATAGAACATCCCCAACCCGTAGACGAATTCCAGATGCTATCTGGGACGCCTGTGTGTGAAATTCAAGCCACTAAATTTCATCCCTTTTCATCCCTTTTCAACAACTGCCCCCCCAAAAGAAATGACCTCACATTCACAAGGCCCAAGTATCTCTGGGACATAGGGTCTTAGAACTCTTCCCCCGAATGACTCTCTCTTCAATTTCATTGATGCTGTTCCTTTTTCCCAGACCTGCACGGAAAAGCCCGGCACAGGCAGATCGGCGGGTTGGGCTAGTTTAGAACCAATGGAGCCAATCATGCCTTTTCATCCAGAAAATAACGGATTCATATCACATTCGACCCAGAAGACCGGGCTTGGGTACAGTTTACTACTGAATATGATCAGACAATCTGTTTGCCTCTTGAGTTTTGACCCATTCCCATATATACAAAATCCCGATTGGGTCCCCCAACCAGTACGAAGCATAGATACCCTACAAAAACGTATAATTATCAGTAGTACCGCACAAGGCGGTGGCGGAAGTTTCGAAAATAGGAAACCTATAGGAGAGTTTGGTTGTTGTGAATCACGGATTGCAGAGCGAATCCACTGATGGACTGAAAGGTGGTTGGAGTTGTGCTTTTTGGAGTGGTTACAATGGTTGCAGTGGTCACCCGGTCGGTCACCTCACCCACAACTGCTGGATGTAGTGTGTTGTAGTTGTGGTGTAGTGTAATTAGTGTAGCGCAGTTGCAGTTGCATTTGTGGTGGTGTAATGAGTGTAGTGTATTGTACTTGTAGGGTAGTGTAGTGTGGTGTAGCCTAGTGTAGTGTAGTGTGAAGTAGCGTAGATGTAGTTGTAGTTGTAGCTGTAGTTTGTGTAGCCTAGTCTAGTCTAGTCTAGTCTAGTCTAGTCTAGTGCAGTGTGGTGTAGTGTAAACTAGCGTAGTTGTAGTTGTAGTTGGAGCTGTAGTTGTAGTGTAGTGTAGCGTTATCTAGCGTAGTTGCAGTTGCAGTTGCAGTTGTATTGTAGTGTAGTGTTATGTAGTTGTAGTCGTAGTGTGCTGTTCACAGAAAGCAGGAGCGAGCCCTCTGTATCTGACCCCCCTCATCTTGAAGGGCCAGTTTGAACAGCACCCAAATCGAGCTGAGCCTCCCCTGTGTGTTGCTTAGTTGTTGATGTGAGGGCCCAAAACCCTGTAAAATAGCAGGTATCATTGATGTGACCCCCCCCATCTTAACTGCTCTTAGCTGCTCGAAGCCCTCAAGAGCATCACCAAAAGAGCACTTGAGAGCTGATATGAGCCAGTTATGAGTTGAGTCCGTGCCTCTCGTGTGTTAAGAGCACTCAAGAGGGATTGAGAGCCGTTATGAAGGGTGTAAGGGTCACTATAAGGGATGATGAGGGCTTTTAGAGGCACTATAAAGGGATTTTGAGGCCTTTATGGGCTCTTTAGAGCAGTTATTTGACTTACCTGCTCCCACCGCCAGATAAGGAGGGTCACACCCAAGGGGGTAGCAACTGCTTTCTATGAGCTGTGCTGAACTGTAGTGTACTGTAGTGTGCTGTAGTGTACTGCAGTGTTTATTGTAGTGTACTGTAGTGTACTGTAATGTACTGTAGCGTACTGTAGTGTACTGTAGTGTAGTTTAATCGAGTGTAGTGAAGTGTAGTGGAGTGTAATGGAGTGTAGTGTAGTGCAGATTAGTTTTGTGTAGCGTAGTGTAATCAAATTAGTGTAGTGTAGTGTAATGTAGTGTAGTTGCAGCTGTAGTTATAGTTAATGTAGTGTAGTAAAGTGTAATGTAGTGTAGCGTAGTGTAATGTAATTAGTGTAGTCTAATGTAATTAGCGTAGCGCAGTGTAATGTAGTGTAGTTGTAGTGGTAGTTGTGGTAAGTTGTAGTTGTAGTTGTAGTTGTAGTTGTAGTTGTAGTTGTAGTGTAGTATAATGTAATTGAGTGTAGTGTAGTGAAGTCTCAGTGGGGTGGAGTGTAGTGTAGTGTAGTGGAGTGTGTGCAGTGTAGTGTAAAGTAGCTGTAGTTGTAGTTGCAGTTGCAGTTGTAGTTGTAGTTGTAGTGTAGTTTAGTGAGGTATAATTGAGTGTAGTGTAGTGTAATGTAAATGGTGTAATGTATATAGTGTAATGTACTTTCGTTGTAGTTGTAGTTTGAGTTGTAGTTGTGGCTGTAGTTGAAACTGCTACAAAATCCTCACGTTTTGCTCACTTTTGACAACATGCAGAATCCCTCGCGCCTGCCACGCAAAACGACATCTGGACGTCCACAAGTGCTCCGAGCCCGTCAAGTTTTTACACTTTTGACATCGAAATGTGCTTCGCGCCACAACGGCGTGCGCTTTTTCGACATCTCAACTTCCAAAAGTGTTCCGACGTTGGTGCGTTTTGTACATTTTGACTTCGACATGTGCTTGGCGCCACAACGGAGTGCAATTATTAATCGCTCATCTGGCCAGATGGCTCCGCACCCACCGCTTTAGCGAGCCAACTTTTCGACCCTCCGGAGCCACAAATCATTGGAAAAACACAGTGTTTCGCGACTTTGCTACCTTTTCGCGCACCTGCATCTTCTTTCTTCTGACTCTTTCTCTTCTCTGATCTTCTCTCTTCTTCTCTTCTCTTCTCTTCTCTTCTCTGACTCTTCCCACCTCTGCTTTTCCATCTTTCCATATTGTCGGAAGATGTCAGAAGTTTGACTTCTAAACTTCCTTCGATAATATTAATGAATCATATTATGGGGGAGTCTAGTATTGGGGGAAGGGATTGGACTATGTTGCCTCTGCATGGCCGAACAACGCCACGTGTTCAACTGACGGCTCTCCCCTGCAGATTTCGAAAAATCGCACCTTCGCCTTCAAGGAGAAGCAAAAAGTCCTTCGTCAGATAGTGGACACTCAACCTTAGATATTTTCTGGACATTAAACATATATACTGCACAGGGTAAGCAATTGCTAGCGGCTCAGCCTTCCTTAAGTGGTATTCAAACATACGATTGGCAGGCTGATCAAGCTGGCATTTGCTTATCGGACAAGACCTGAAACCGTTGAAACCACAGCACCCAGAAACGCTTTGGACTCACTCTCAGCTTTTTTCGTGGAAGCCACGACCCGATGCACCATGATGCACCATGGACAGGCTGCCCTTTGGCCAATTTTGGTGTTTGGAGATGTTTGGATCCTGGTTGGAAAGGATTCAATAGACACACTTTCATGGCAATATCCACCCAGAGTTTCCAAACATCCATTTCAAGGCGAGGAATTCCCGAGATTTCCCGAGAATTGCTGCTACAAGTGTTTTTTTCATTGCAATGTGCGTCCTATTTTGGAGTGGTTGAAACATGTCAGTCATGATTTCTGGTTTTGAGCCAGGCTTCAGGTGCTCCGAGTTTGGCTATCATGGAGCCGGATCAAAATAGGGATAGCCCGGTGAACGGTTGACACCACCCAGACCCTTTGGAAGTCAGTTTAATATATTCTAATATCATCAATATGGATGGGTGAAGACATGCTTTCAAGCACCGCGTTCAATATGTTCAATGAGTTCCATAGATTTGCAACAAAGATTTGGGATTTTTTTATGCTCAAGACAAAGACTTAGGAGGGTAATTCAGCAAACCCATAAAAACGCCATAAACCATGGCCGCCATTTACCCCATGTCGATCCATTTTGTCATTGACATGGTACTGAAAGGGTTCGTTTCAGGTCCTGCTCAGCTAGCATACAACTCGCTGTTTCGAAAAGCTCACATGATTCCGAAGCTTACTGGGGCTGAGAAGGGAGTGGTGGAATGGGGGATTTGGATGGATTTGGATGATGGATATAACGGTTAATAGACAATGTTAATAGGTATGCTGATAGTTAATTATAGATCATTCTCCCATTCCCTACTAAGCACCAGCAAGGATCATGAAGTTCATCGATCGGTTTCCTCTTGAAGTTAAGCTTTTGGTATCATCAGTGGTGGTCCTCAGTAAGTTTGTTGGGACCCTCAAACAATCTTTCAGGTGATAAACAAATCCCTTTTGGGATTTAACAATTAACACCACCCACCACATGGTCAATTTGGGTAATTAAATGGGTTTGGTTTACAATTGAGTTTTCGAGAGTCTTCATGATTTACTCTTCAAATCTCTACGCCAAAAACAACCCAAACCACGTGAATTCTAGATATCTGTATCACACCACACAACTTGGAAAGTGGAAAAACCATAAAACACAATCATGCAATGACTGACCGCCCTTCTTGCTTGCCTAGCCAGGATCATCTGTGCCACCGTGTGGGCCAAAAGGAGTAAATGCTCCTGGAACCGACAAATGATGATCTTGAGTTTTCAAAATCCATTTCATATTCCATATCATATTCAATTCATATTCATATCATATTCATATCATATTCATATCATATTCATATCATATTCCATTCCTTTGAACTGTAGCAGCTGAAGAAAGCAGCGAACTGCTGTTGTTTTCACTGATCCAACCCGTACGGGCCGTACGGGTACAAACCATAGCTTGATCCACACAGTTCTGCATCTTGCAATGCTACAGTAGCCATGACTCAATCTGGGTGGAAAGGGAGATGACTCAGTGGGCTTATCATAACAGCCATCCCCATATTTCCCACCATCATGGAAAGGATTCCACGAATAATTGTGAATAATTAAGTATATAATTGGTCGGTATATACTTGTATAAACATGGATCGATGACCATCCCCCAATTAATAGTAATTAATGGCTTCAAGTTGATCAAATCCACATCGCTGTGTGTGAAATCCACATCTTTTGTGGGCGAAATCCCAATTCATGTTGGTTAAACCATCTTAAATCCCAGTGTTTTTTCCCTCAGTTCGTTGGTTAAATCCCCACAAATGGTGGCACGGTGGGTCCATGTCCATCGCCGGTCGCCGAGGGTCCCACGGTACCTGATCAACATCATCCGCCAGCTGCTCCAAGCTTTGTAGAGCCTCAAAGCCTAGAAGGAAATTCAGAAGTTTTATTGCTGGCGAAAAATATACTTGGCCTCTTCTACATACATATATACGTACAAATATATACAAATAATACAATATCAAATTCATATGCCTTTCAACTCGGTCTTGAACCTGGACTCCTGGAACCGAGGGACACGCTGGGGGGACAAGTTCCCTGTGCTCCCAAGATCTATGAGGCCGAAAAAATGAAAACCAGGGTGTCTTGTGCAGTTGTGCACAGCCTTCCCTATCAAGCCTCTGACAAGGTTTTGGCAAGCGCTTGGAAAGCTGACACGGTCGATTAAGGAACATGGTTTATACGTATGACATATGCTTCAGAAACAAGGTTTTCAACGTGTTCATTTGCAAAAAAACAAGGCCTTTGAAAATAGTTCAGAACACAAACCTTCGCAAATTTGGATCATATTCTTTCCACACATGCCGGCTCTACGTGCTTTAGGCAAACAATGCTCGTGAAAGACAGGTGATGTGGAGTCGCACCATCTGAAAAGTGACGAAAGAGGATCAAGGATTTTGATGTTGCATTAATATTTTATACATGTATATTATCTTTAATAATGCCATTTACCTGCAGGGAAAAATTCAATAGGCATTCGAAATCATTAAAATGTGTGTTTTTTTAAATTATTCGACGTTGTTTGCATATTTGCTGTTTGATCATCATCTCCATATGTTCTGGCCAAAATTTACGGGTATCTTCCGTTTTCACACATTTTCACAAAACCGCAGCTCATATCAAGTTGGTTACATATCCAGTCAAAAGCCCCATAGAAAGTCCCATAGATCATAAAATGTCCCAAAGAAAATCCCAAAAATCATTAAAACATCCCATAACAGAACAAATCTAATAAATCATTAAAAAACACGTTAAACAAATCCAATTAAAAAAAAAAACAATCAATTTGCAGTTGGTTGACAACCCAACCAGTGGCTCACCATCTGCATTTGCATACTGAGCCCTCCTCACTGGACGGCGCCAATCGCCCTGCACAAAGCAGGGCATGCGAGGATTCGCTCAAGGCCTCGTGGCGCGAGGGATGGGAGTCATGGATGTTCTAGGGATTTTACTAATGATGAGGATTCAGATGGGTTATGGATATAATTTGATATGATTCATATTATGGATTATGGATGATTATGGGTATAACGTAATCAACAATGGGGACTTAATTTCGGGCTTATATACATATACACATATTGCTATATAATATGAAAAGTTGTTTTTCACCAGTCTGGCACCACACTTCTAACCAAAAACAATGCCTAAAACAATTGAAAAAATTAGAAGCAATGGGAGGATCAACATTCAGCCAAAAAGGGAAAACACAAAATTTCGAAACATGGGAATGGGGCAGCATCTTGTTGCGGTCCTCTTGGAGAAATCACATGAGCGGGGGCCAAAACTAAGGGTTACAAAGGCGATCATAAGCACAAGTTATCGGTTTAGATTGTTCGCTATATCGATTTACATCGTTTTGGAGCATGTCAAACAATGGCTGTTGATTTGGAAATCCATTTCCAGTCATCTCCACTGAACCAAAAATAGGGGCACTTCATGGTCAGCAGTCTGCTGTCCACTGTTTGTCTTCAAGTGCGGAAGGAATTTCCCTCGGAACAGCTTGGTTTTTGCATTGTTACGTGGCTTCTGCTTCTGCAGATTCTGTTCATCTCTTTGATCTTGTGGTCAAAGTTATATTCAATGGTAGGTTTCAAGGCTAGGCTGGATCACCCCAAGTAGATGTTTCAAGACTTTGACACAAAAATGAAGTGCGCCACTCCAGGTATGGATTGGGTCTTTGGCTTCCCGGAGCCCCTTTTGGCAATTTTTGGTTATCGCTAGGTTCTCGATTTGGCTATTGATAAATCAATCTGGTAAAATCAGGAAACATGTGGAAAAAACACGTTTCCAAAGCACAGTCTCTGCTTTCCAGAGCCTGTGTCGTGACAGGTTTTGGCAGCAAGTTCTGTGGTCAGAAGTGCGTACTCTAGGCCTTTTGCGAGCACCTCTAGGCCTTTTGAGAGCCCGTGGATTCACATCCGACGAATACTAAAACAATGCATATGAGGTTACTATACAATCCCAAATGGCTGCGAAAAGAAACCACACCTTTCAACTTCACCGTCAAATCACGTTATCGCTTTAAGTAATTCACCATATTGCTTTCCATGGTTTGGGCAACATGTTCCACCATATGACCTCTCATGTAAAGGTTTCTGCATGAACCTTTTAGGTCTTTGCTCACATGTTCCTTCGAACAGCTTTAGGTATTCATGCAATTTGGCTATGAGTCAAAAAAAAGGGGCACCCTAGGTACCCTAAAACAAGGTAACAGCATCTGTAAGAGGCCGTGTCGGTGATGACATCACACAGTGCCAGGACGATGAGGGAAGTGCCCGAAACTGTAGTAGTTTATACATTTTTATTTTTCTGGAATAAATTTCTGATGCGAATCCCTTGGAAGGGTCACTTCAAAAGTGGAAAATCTAGTGTTTTACAAGAACGAAACAAAAGTTTTGTTCGTCAAGGGTTTCGCCGAAAAGTTCCTTTAAAGTTGTCCGAGGTTGTTCAGGACATTGCCTTTGACACTCTTGCGCCAGACTGCAGCATACAAGTACTTCCATTTTTTTCTGAAGTCTTGTCTGCAGTCTTTATACTTTATTATGTGTATTCGACTGCCGGGGAATCGTGTTTTTAACCAATCCCACTGTCTGTCTAAAGTCTGTGTTCCGACCAAAGAAGAACTCTTTTTCGCGGGCTTCCTCCCAAGTGCTTCGCAAACTCACCGCGGTTGTGGGCAAAGTTTTGCCATTTGAGGCGTTTTTCTGGCACTTGTTGTTTGGAGGCTCTTTTCCAAGCTTTGCAACCATCAGCATAGCAAGCTGTTCTGGCTCGTAGCATGGCATATGTGTGGAAGTGCAAGAGAAAGTGCAGCAGCGTAGCATGACATATGTGTGGAAGTGCAAGATAACGTGCAGCAGCGTAGCATGACGTATGTGTGGAAGTGCAAGAGAACGTACTGTGTGGTTGCAGTCGCAATGAACGTTAACATCCCACCCCACCCCACCCCACCCCCCCACCCACCCCCATATCCACACGCGCATGGCCTCTTACTGGTGTTGACGCCTAAAACAACTGGTTAATATGATTGGATTATTATTATTCCCCCAAATATTGGTACAAACACCGTACTTATATAAGTCACATCAGGCGGGAAAAGTCACATCATTCCCATGGCACAGCGGCGATACAGAAAAGTCACATCAGGTAGTGGAAAGTCAGGGAAGAAGAATTACCATGGCCTCCCGATACGACTTAACGCTAGCGTTAGTACTAGGGTTTGACCCATCCGATTTTTGGAGAGATCCCTTGACCCAGCCACAGGCACTGGCCTTTGGCACCTTGGTCACCACTGAGGATGACACCCATGCACGACAGGCCTCGCTGCAAAAGACCTGCCAGATGCTCGTTTCGAGGCTTCATCTACTTCTTGTCAATGGGATATAAAGAGCTTAGAAGGTGTTGGAAGGGGGTGTACATAGGATTTGGGATAGAAAATATGGTTTTTGACGACTTGTAAAACAAAAACAATGTTCAGGATAGACAGCTTTCCTCCTGTCGAGTTATCTAACAAAAACTCGCATCACCCATCGACCAAGGCTTACACAGGCTTACAGTCACAATCCTTTTAAGCCCCGGCAAGCAGTGGGAAATAGACAAACATAACCAATTATAACCATCCATTACCTATGCACCCCTATGAAACTGCCTGAGAGTTTGGCCCACCATTGTATAGTAAGCCCATGTAACCCCCAAAAAGATAGAAATGCCAAATCCATCAAAATCCTACTTAAACAGTGGTAAATGACTTTAAACTATTTTGTTGGGAACTACATTTAGTGGTGAGTCGTGAGTCTTATCAAGTGTCACTAGCAGAGGTTGATCTCGACCCCGAGGCTCCCAGTGGTGCTTCTGTGGGGGATCATTTTATATTGATTTCAAGATAAGAATCCATAAATCATTGAAGAATTCTAGGTACGATACATAAATGATAAAAACATTTCCAGCTATGCGCGAATAAATCATACAACATCATACAACTATATCATATATATATATACATAATATTTGAAACCAATCAACCAACTTAGGACACCCTGTCAACCTCTTGCCCCAGGAACCTCTGCGCAAGCGTCACCTGTGCAAGGAAGTACCTAGGCAGCGATGGCGGCAATGCTGCGACCCATCCTGGCAAACCTACTCAAAATTCATCAAAAAGTTGTTGGAAAATCTGATGAGAGTCAGAGTTTTAATGGTGACAGGTGGCGATTGTGGCGATTGTGGTTACATTATCTTGTTGGTGGTTTCAGCCCCCTGAAAAATATTAGTCAGTTGGGATTATTATTCCCAATATATGGAAAGTCATAAAATTCATGTTCCAAACCACCAGCCAGTAACATATTCTACCCTCTGGTAAATAAACATAGACCCTGAAAATCAAGAATGTTTAATGGAAACTAGTCTTCCAACCCCTGTCTGCCAGGGTCTATGTTAATTTACCAGAGGGTTATTCTAGCTATTCTCGGTACCATTGATGAAATCCTTGAGATCGGTGGAATTTCCTTAAGGGCCTCGCTTGCCCGGCGACGAAGCCTTCCTTTGGAAGATGCTCCTGCGCAGGGCAAAAAAAGGGCCTCTACACTCATCAAAATGGTGAAAATGATGATTCACCAACAGGTATCATAAGGTACCCTCTGGTAAACTGTTACATAACGAACTGGAAAGATCCACCATTTTTTATGGGAAAATCCACTATTTCTATGGCCATGTTCAATAGCTACAGTATGTAAACGTTTACCAGAGGGTATCCCATTTTCAGACAAACCCATGCGTTTTCAGATTGTTGTGGTCGAAAAAACTATCCCCACAACGTAAAAGCACAGCGAACTCCAACTGAGGGTTTCTGCAATCGGGCCTGGAGACGAAGGTCTCCAAATCACGCTACAACATTGGTCAGTTTTCTGCAAGCGGCTATTTATGATATAATAATACATAATACATACACAAATAGACATGTATATATATATATATCATATATATATATATATCTCATATATATATATATACATACCATATATCATATATACATATACCATGTATCATATATATATTATATATACTATACACTATATATATATATATTACATATTTAAGATTTTTTATTTGATATGATTTTCCGTTTATGGATGGAACCATCTATCCACGACTGCCCATTTTTCTAGCTCCAAGTTACGCAAATTCAGAAAATTTACCTATATCATGAATCCATCGTACTCCAGACCTGTCTCTTTGGACCCATTGTTTTCCCAACCTGTTTCCCTGTGTGTGACATGTTACACACCTGTGAATTGACTGGTTGCGGTGGGAAGACCTTTCAGCTCGATTTGGAAATTGTTTGGCACCATGTCGATGCCTTGTGTTGCTCCTGAAATGCTATGGAGCCTGGATGAGCTAAAGCGTGCCCTGATAGGTGAGTTTCCCATTTTGGAGACTGAAGTGGGAGAAGGTTTCAAAATATTGTGTGACTTGTTTGTTGAATGGGCTGAAATCCTGTTAAACTACAACAACCAGCATCCGCTCTGTTGTTGAATTTGGGGAATTGTGGCCCAGAATCCTTCTCTCAGGGGATTTCCTGCCGCGCATACTCATGTGGCATCGCACTCGAGGGGTGTCATCGCACTCCAGAGGACCCCATCGCACTCCACATATACTCACAGATTTTCGTACTCCACAAAAGGCATAGTATACCAGAAAAACCGTCGCATACAGCCAAAAACATTTTTTTTTGAAAAAATGAACCTGAAGATGTTTTTTTATTTTTTTTCCCGCTGGAGGTAAAATGCTCTGGAATATGATAATATGGAATATGGGGGAAATCGTTGTTTTTCCAGCGTTTTGAAGAGTCGCGCATACAATCGTATTCCATCAAATTTTGATACTTTAGACCTGTGGAGGCTATGGAAATCCTCGGTTGTGGTGCTAGCCGTGCAGGATGGAGTGTGATGCTCTCTGGGTATATGGAGTGGAATTTCTGACCCCAATTTGACCAAAAAAGATGTCAACATATGCTTGAGAATCCCACATGCAGGACTGGCAACGCATACCAGGGGGGCATCGTACTCCATGTAAGTGTATTCAGTGGAAATATGGTACCATTTGGGTTCGAGGAAGAACAGCGAAATCCAGACTTGGCCCAGTTTGCCGATGCGGAAGCTGAACCGCCAGCCAAACGCGTCAAACAAATAAGCTGAACAGCTTATCCAATGGTCTTAAAAGATCCTATAGAGAAGTTGATGATTGATGAGAGAAACACAAGACTTTAGGTTTATTCAAGAAATCATTGCTTGAGAAGCTGTGGGCTCAAAGGGTCTTAGCGGGGTTAAACATGTGCGATTGGACATGACAGCACGTGCCAAGGGAAAAGGTGCGCCTGACAAGGGTCACACAACCTCATTCTCACCATCAAAGGTCGTTCATTATTTTCCAAACTTCCGGAGCTATTTTGGCATGGAATATGAACAGCCTTGGAATATGGGTAAGATTTTGCTAGAATTTTTCATAATTCCTGTCCTTCCAGTAATTCGATACGCCCATCCTGTGATGGATTTGTTACCAATTTGAAGCCAGTAGAGCCAGTATCCAGTTCTATTCTTTTTCTGGCGGGAATGTAATGCTATTAGGTCTTATGTAAATATACAGCAATGAAGAAATTAAGAACTAATACATCGAATTTTATATCATCATTTAACACATAGAAAGAAACACACACTCATCAAAATGAACACCCAGAACTCTTCAATATAATCCCTTCTCCCTATTACTAAACCTCCCCTAAATAATAAAAAGTACCCCAGATTATTGTTCTGGGAAAATTCAGATTGGTCAATTGGATTTTTAATTATGTTAATTGATATTAAGGTGAAGGGATTATCAACAATAATCTGATTATGACTATTTATCCATATGCTCATGATCATCAACACCAGGATCTAAAAACCAAAAAAGATCATCACCAACTAAACATATGCCAGTTATATTATATAGTTAACACCAATGTTAACATATACCAGACCATCATCATATTAACACCAACATGCTCATCATTTTGGCTGATCAACACTTATTTATCTGGGCAAATTATAATAATTCACTAACCTGAAATAAGACCATATTTGGATAAGTCCCCTTACTAACCATTATTCCAGTGAGGTCGCAGTGAGGTCGTTATAATTTACCCAGGTTTATATAAACACCGAAAAAGATCAGCCCAGGGCTTGGCTGTCTCCTGGCTGAGCTGGTCGCCATTGGTCAAGCGGATCTCCTGCCCATTTTCTTGATCCTTTTCATGGACGGATTGGGACGTGGCGAGTTTCCATTTACAAAATGGAATGATGTATGGTATTTGTTTAATGAATATATGGATATATGGATGTCTTAAAAAATTACGGATACTTATATGATATATGGATATACATGGTATTTTTGGATATGTAGTTGGTAACACCCCAGAAAGATAGAAAACGTATGACAAAGTAAAATCCGTCCACCAAAAATCGTGATCAAGTACTCTAAACTGCCTCAACTTGGGGCTTACTCAAAATCTATATGTCACATATGTCGATTTTGGACTGCTGGATATGTTACCGCAATGTTACCTCTCAGGCATGTTCCAAACCTGGCTTGGCTGCTCCCAACACGTTCTAGGAACTCTAGGAGTCGCACCTCTGTGCAGCTCACATGTTCATTGGTCAATCACAACAGAGAATCCATATTGGTAGCCTCATCCCGCGCACCCCGTGTGGTGCGATATTTTTGGAGAAAGTTGTTTTAAAAAAACCCTAGTTACCTGAAAAAAAACCTTAATTACTGGGGATTCTAGGGGATTATACTACCTAAGGATTATTGGGGAATAACCTAATCCCCCAAGGATAAAGGTGACCCAATTTTTAGGAGATGTGGCTACTCAAGATCGTTAGCAACAGTGAGCTGCTGAGCTGAAAATGGAACATGGCCCATTTCTAGATCAACAGAATAGATACTTAGATACTGATACATTATGATACTATGGTATGATATGATTACCTAATACCAAAGAATTGATATACCAAATAATAAAAATCTGGTTGGTGGTTGACCTACCCCTCTGAAAAATGATGGAGTTCGTCAGTTGGGATCATGACATTCCCAACTGAATGGAAAGTCATAAAATTCCATGGTTCCAAAGCACCAACCAGAAATGGATTATCATCATTTTCCTTAGCAAGTTTGCAATTTGGGATATCCCCCATCTTTGGATATTATCTGGGCAAATTATAATATTTCACTAACCTGAATTAAGGCCATTTGGGGATGATTCCCCTTATTAACTATGATTCCAGTGAGGTCGCGATGTGAGGTCGTGATGAAATTTACCCAGATATTATATGAATTTCCAACGGTAATACCAAGCAGATAAAAATATGGCGATGTTTTACCCATTTTTCCTCTGAAAATTCAAGCCTTGTGAGATCACCACCTGGGATCATGATCCCCGGCTGTGTAGCCAATGCAATCGACCATCAGGGCTTGGTAAATGTCCTTCTAATTAAACCCCAACGTCATTGGGGATATACTTGATATATATATATATTGATTATCATCTACATGTACTTGGTTTGGTGACGTGCAATCCCCCAAAATAAGGACATAAAATAACAATCCCCCTGACCTCCCCTGGGATGGTTTCAACCCAACGGATTCAAAGCACCAAGCAGTTGGTTTTTGCCTCTGAGCCCGGTGGTGCATCCAAGCCCAGATATCTCAGCCTCGGCCATTTGAGGTACCTATGTTGAAGGTACCTACCATATGTAAGGCCTATGTGTTTGGATTATGTAAGGGAAGATCCCCACAAAATATGGCCGAAAAAATACCTCTATTGTAGGGTCCTGAAATTCCTACTGATTCATGGATGTAAATGTAAAGAACAATGGCTATCATGGCAAAACAGTCACATGGGTATGTGTGAAATCATAAAGATGTAAAAAAAACTGTTCACATCAAAATAGGTGCCGTCACACGTAAATGCTCATGCCCTCAAAATTATGGAACGCTCTGGTAACTTAACATGGCAATGCAAAACCACATTTTTTATATGTCCATAGTCCATAGCTATGTTTGTTGTTTGGAGGATATTTCATAAGTTTCCATAGGATGTCATAGGACTTGATCCATATGAGTGTTCCTTAAATAGGGGTGCCCCCAAATCATCCATGTCACTGATGACAATTTTAGTATTGAAACCTATGGTGCCTTGGGCATCCCACGTTTTTTCTGAACCCCCCATATCCACACGAATCCCTTGCCTGAGTTTCTCTCCAAGAAACTGCGAAGCAAGAGTGCCGACTGGCAGCAAACAAGCGCGACACACTTGGACGCACCTGGCACGCAAGAGGACCCGACTGACGCAAGATTGCTGGGTATCAATGGGGTTTTAAAAGTACCCATTTCCAATCATATTGACATTATTTGTATATATTTGTAGCATATTCTCAATGGGGATATACTAATCTATGGGGATATACTGCTTACATCCGCCAACATCTGCTAACATACAGCAATGGGCATATCACATTGATATCATTAGATCTACTGAATCTACTGGAATCAAGCCGCGGGAACCACTGGCTGGTCATGTCTAGGATTGTCTGAGAGCCTCCTCACAGGTGGTGGTAAATCAGCCGCTGAAGCCCAGCATTGGACTCAGACGTATTGTGAAAAGGGGGGGATGTGACTTTGAAACTCTTCCCGTCATTAGGCTTTGCATGAGTTGTTCACAGGGGGTGGGACTCCTATCTCTTTTCCTGGCATTTACATATTATCTGAGACAAGACCCAAGGTCAAAAAAGATCGTAATTATTGCACAGTCAAACTATAGCTCATTATAGCCATAGCTCTATGTTCTAAATTCCATTGGAGATACCCTCTGGTGAACTAACATAGCAATGGAAAATCACCATTTTTGATGGGAAAATTCACTATAAATAGCCATTTTCCATTGCTATGTTAGTTCACCAGAGGGTATACTTTATTGTAACATGAAAAAATATCCTACACCACAGCGCCTGCGACTCACACCAGATTGGATGCACCTCGATCCATATTATGGAGCTTCAGGGCCCGGGAAAATTTCACAAAAACCGGGCAGATGTTCGAGTACCAAACTCACGGATGTTGGAATGATGATATGGATAATTATATAGTGGCTATAATTATGATAGTATAATTTATATGATTATGATGATATATGATGGTGGCTATAATGTTCAAATTTCATGAAAATTCTCTTTATGGCAACCTCCAAATAGATTCTTCTCATCTTCTTGATATAAAAATAGCAACCTTCAATTCGTTGGATGGAAATAATGGAAAAAAAACACCAACGTTTTTCCATAAATTGAAAGTCTTCTATCTCATCTTCGGGGCTTGATATCATGATGTGTTAGTGATCCATATCTCTTTTTGAAAAAATGGATTCTTGATCAAGGCCTTAAGGCCGGATCGGAACTCTGGGTGTTCATGTTCAAGACCTGGATCTATGTTTATCGGGTTTAACCAACCAAAATTAGGGATATAATGGGGGTATCATGGGGATAGATCGAATATATGTTCAAAATCAACTAATTAATGAAAATAATATGGAGATATCATATATATATATATATATGTATGTGTGTGTGCTTGAAGATGAATATATAATTATATATATATGGGGATATATATATATAATGGGATGTAATGGAGATAGATGTTCGAAATCAACTAATATGGATATCATGGAGATATACGTCGGATATAACCAACCATAGATCTTGATACATCAGAATCATGGGGCCCATGAGGAACCTGAAAAGTTCGTCTTGGGGGTAGCACAGTCATCTGGGTTCCTGATCTTCGCCGTCCACCCAATCTGCCACAACGGATCTTGCGCCGGCAATGCGAAATATGTTGACCCAACAAAGCCCATCTGTCCAATACTGAGGACTGGGTATAGACAAGTAGTTCTTTGATTCTTAATATTGGTCACCACATCCAGCCATTTGGGACAAACCCCCATGACTATGGGAACCCCGAAAATAGATGGTTGATACTGAAAAAAACCGATCAACATAGGTGATTTCGGGGTACCCAACCTCCATTGATTTCGGGGCACCCTCCGACAGATCTCCGAGGTACGCCAGTGGCCGTTGCTTCCAGAGTTCTGCACCCCAGGTCTGATAGCTGGGCGCAAAGAGTCCACCTTAGAACGAAACCGATGGTGACAGAGGTTCCCGAGATTTTTTCAGACACCCAAATGTTGATTTACCATGATTTACCATAGAATGTTGATTTACCACATGTTGATTGCCATATTTTTGCCACTTATATAGAATGAATATGATTTACCATGATTTACCCTCCGGTAATTTTTGACAGTTTGCTATTGAAAATGGCCCAGTCGAAATAGTGGATTTACCCATTAATGGTGATTTTCTATAGTTATGTCACAGTTTACCAGAGGGAATCATACCATTAAATGGCCATTATTGGATTGTGAGCCCCATCATTTCATGCCCACCAAGCCTGAATTTCATCTTGGCCCGACCACGTTCGTTGATGCGAGAAACCCCGCATATGTGTAGAATTCTGGATGCGCCAGGACTCCAGCGCTATGTTTCGGCGTTGCATGGGGACCTTTGGGGATTCCCCGAGTCAAATTCAGCATTCCGTTGTGATGTCACGACATGAGGTCATGATTTACTATACATGTCTAAATATAATATATATATATATATAATATATATATATAAATAATATATCATCCAGATTAATTATATTATGTCCCATTGACCCATCATATCGCCACTTATTTCCATTTAATATTCCCTAGTTTAGTGACTATAATAGGATATACACACATACACATGCACACATATACATACACATACACACATACACATGCACACATATACATACACATACACACATACACATGCACACATATACATACACACATATACGTGCACATACACACATATACATACATATATACATACATATACATACATACATGGAATATATGTGTATTTTGGTGTATATATATATATATATTATATATTTATTTATTTTATTTTATTTTTATATTGAGGGGATGGGATTAACTTTCGAGTTCTGGTTGACTTCCCCCATCTGAGCCCCAGCACGACCTTGGTTGGCAGTCTGCCTCGCCAACCGCTCTGCCAGCGGTCCGAGTTTTCCCGGCGACTCCCCCAAGGGTACCCCGGTTTTCCCCCCACGAACACGAACCCGAATGCAGTCACGTAGAACACTTTTGTAGAACAAGTTATCGGAACAATCTACATGTTTCCCCGTTACCCTACCAGTGCACTGTAGACTGTGGAATGCGGAAGAAGGTGGAGTGCAAAGTAAGGAGTGTGGAGTACAGAGCGTAAAGTGTAGAGTGTGGAGTGTAAAGTGTCCAGTGTAGAGTATAAAGTGTAGAGTGCGGAGTGTGGAGTGTGGAGTGTAAAGTGTAGAGTGTAGAGTGAAAAGTGTAGAGAATAACATGTAGTGTATGGAGTGTGGAGTGTAGACTGTGGAGTGTGGAGTGTAACATGTAGAGTGTGGAGTGTGGAGTGTAACGTGAAGAGTGTGGAGTGTAAAGTAAGGAGTCTGGAGTATGGAGTGCAAAGTGTAGAGTGTGGAGTGTGGAGAGTAGAGTGTGGAGAGTAAAGTGTAGTGTGTGTAAGGTGTAGAGTGTGTAAAGTGTAGACTGTGGAGTGCAAAGTGTAAATTGCAACGTGTAAATTGTAAAGTGTGGAGTGTAAAGTGCGGAGTGTGGAGTGTAAAGTGTAAAGTGTGGAGTGTAAAGTGAAAAATGTAAAGTGTGGAGTGTGGAGAGTAAAGTGTAGAGTGTGGAGTGTAAAGTAAGGAGTGTGGAGTGCAGCGTGTAGAGTCTAAAGTGTAGGGCGTAAAGTGTAGAGTGTAAAGTGTGGAATGTAAAGTGTGGAGTGTAAAATGTAAAGTGTGGAGTGTGGAGGGTGGAGTGTGTAGTGTGGAGTGTAGAGTGTAGAGTGTGGAGTGTAGAGTGTAGAGTGTAAAGTGTAGAGAAAAAAGTGTAGTGTGTGGAGTGTAGAGTGTAAAGTGTGGAGTGTGGAGTGTAAAGTGTGGAATGTAAAGTGTAGAGTGTGGAGTGTAAAGTGTAGAGTGAAAAGTGGAGAGCGTCAAGTGTAGAGTGTGGAGTGTAAAGTGTCGAGTGTAGGGTGTAAAGTGTAGAGTGCGGAGTGTGGAGTGTGGAGTGTAAAGTAAGGAGTGTGGAGTGTGGAGTGTAAAGTGTGGAGTGTAGAGTGTGGAGTGTAGAGTGCGGAGTGATGTGGATTGATGTGGAGTGTAAAGTGTGGAGTGTAAAGTGTAGAGTGTAAAGTGTGGGGTGTAAAGTGCAGAGTGTGGAGTGTAGAGTGTGGAATGTAAAGTGCGGAGTGTGAAGTGTAAAGGGTGGAGTGTAAAGGGTGGAGTGTGGAGTGAAGTCCTACATGTAAAAAGTGAACTCTAAAGTGACGACTGTGGAATGTAAAGTGTAAAGTGTTAAGTAAAGTGTGGAGTGTAGAGTGTGGAGTGTAGAGTGCGGAGTGATGTGGATTGATGTGGAGTGTAAAGTGTGGAGTGTAAAGTGTCAAGTTTGGAGTGTAAAGTGTAGGGTGTAAAGTGTAGTGTAGTGTAAAGTGTAGAGTGTAAAGTGTAGAATGTAAAGTGTGGAGTGTGAAGTGTAAAGGGTGGAGTGTAGAGTGTGGAGTGTGGAGTCTGCAGTGCTGCGCCTGCCACGCAAAATGACGACAGAGATCTCCAACATGCTGCGCCTGCCACGAAAACTACAACTGCATTTTGTGAAAACGCCACAAAAGTATTGCGCTTGCCACACAAAAACGACTTTCGACGCGTTGTCAAACAGGTTGGAATGTCACAAAGTGCCGCTCCTGCCACGCAAAACGACATGACAACCTGCTTGGAAACCTTCGAAAAGGAGCAGTCTTGCAGCTTCCCCCATAGACACGGCGAGGCCAGAGGAAAACCAGAGACTCGAGACGAGACACGTGGGAGCATCAAAACGAGCATTTCGTGCGAGACCTCCTCCAATTTTGACACTTTGTAGCTTCAAAATCGATGTTTTCCGACGAGTTTTCCTTAGAACCTGAAAATTTGCTACCTCAAAGTCGATGTTTCGTGCGAGGCTCACGTCAATTTTCATCACATCTCACAAAATGCCACGCGTGCCACGGAATTTGCACCTTGTCGCCACTTAACGCAGCCCTGACAATGCGATTCGCAAAAAAACGCAACATGACACGTCTAAAGTACTGCGCCTGCCGCGCAAAATGACGATGGACACGTCCAAAGTGCTGCGCCTGCCACGAAAGCTGCAACACATCTTCTGAAAACGTCGCCAAAGTATTGCGCCTGCCACACAAAACGACTTTCGACACGTTACAAAACACGTCTGAATGTCACGAAGTGCCACGCCTGCCACGCCTGCCACGCGAAACGAAACAACGCAACTTTGAAACCTCCAAAAATGACCCCTTCTGCAGAACTTACCATAGGCACGGCCATACGGCCCTCACGCGAACGGTTGCGGACGGTTGCGAACGGTTGCGGACGGTTGCGGACGGTTGGGCAACGTCGAGCGAACACACCCAACCCCCAGACCCCCATGCAGAGTGAAACGGGAACCCTTGCTACGCATTCGGGAAAAAAATGCATGTCATAAGCCCCCAATTTCTGGGTAGGCAACTAATAGCTTTAAAATAAGCATGTAAACCATTCATTAGCAGTTTGCAAGGTATATAACTACGGTATAACTGATTACAGGGCTTGGTACATGTCCTAAATTTTCACAGCCAACTGGGGAGCTGTCATCTCCAACTTGTTTTTCAGGTGATATGAAACAAGGAATTCTATGGTGCAAGCAACACCACCCAACAAAAAAACAAGAATCATGTGTAACATTCAACTCAAGCGGCAAATGACTTCTTAATACGTCTCAATCTCTTGCGGGTTACCATCTGGTGATTTAACATGGCTATGGAAGCCATATTTTTGCCACTCATATAAAATGAATATGATGATTTATCATGATTTACCCTCTGGTAAACGTTTACATAGCTATTGAAAATGGCCCAGTCGAAATAATAGTGGCTCTTTACCCATTAATAGCAAATGGTGATTTTGATCGACCCAGAGCCGGCCTCACAATGCATTGGTCGTGGCGAGCCAGGATGATCTGGGGCTCCGATAGGGTCCGACGGTCCCATGGTTTCTTGGGGAGTTTCCCATTTCAACATTTTCTGGGACCATTTGAAAATGGGGCTACCCGCTACCCCTGTTCATCATCCATGTTTCCTCTTTGGCATTTTTGGGTACCCCCATTTTTTTGGAAAACCAAATATATATATATAATATATATATATATATATACATCAAAACCGTAAAAAAAGATGTTCTATGTTCACAAAATCTTCGGTTTCGACGGTGCCACGAACAAGTCGAGAGTTGATTAGATTCGTTTCAGCTCAAATAAAAATGGGCGTGGGCCTGAAAATTAATCCGAACAGCATCCAAACATAGCACCCTAGGAAGTCGGTTGGTCGTTTCGAACATGTGCAAAGCAGTTTGACGTCTAGACCAAGATTCTAATCTACGCATGGGCCACGGCATGCCAACGGAAAAACAAGTTGTTGAGCCATCCTGAGTGGAGTGAATCACCCTTTGGGAAAGTAAACATGACCATTCGCGAGTTTGTTCCTTAAATCACATCTATTTTGTTTGACTGGGATTGTCGGCCCTAAATGTACCTGTCCTCCCATGTTTAATTCATCTTGCTTATTGCTGATTTAACTCAGCTGATTTGGCAGCTTGGCTGCTGACCGGGTGCTCCACTTCATCACGTTTTTGGAGGAAATCCTCGAGGACCTGATCCGCAGCTCGAAACAATGGGAACACGCGTTGGAAGAAACCAAAAATGGAGGATGAAAACCCATAGCCCAAAGCCCTTGAAGAGGTTTTTTCATGGTGCAACTACAAGAATGCAAACATTGAAAATCAATGTGGAGATTTGGAATCCTTCGCCTTAGCGTACTGCTCTGCCAATGAGCTGCTCACGCCTGCGGCGCAGCAGAATCCACGGAGGCATGGCCGCATGGTTTTTGTCAATGGGGGCACCCCATTCCATAGTTATAATCATCAGTTCCTGGAAGTTTTCCCACTAAAGTCACTAAACTTAAGAATTTTGGGGATATAGCCCGTTCCGCCCATCATCCAGCAACCACCAACTACACCACCACCTACACCACCACCTACACCACCACCTACACCACCAACTACACCAGCACCTACACCACCATCTACACCACCACCTACACCAGCACCTACACCACCATCTACACCACCACCTACACCACCATCTACACCACCACCTACACCAGCACCTACACCACCATCTACACCACCACCTACACCAGCGCCTACACCACCAACTACATCATCACCTACACCACCACCTACACCACCACCTACACCACCACCTACACCACCACCTACACCACCACCTACCACCACCTACACCGCCATCTACACCACCACCTACACCAGCACCTACACCACCATCTACACCACCACCTACACCAGTTGTAGGTGGTGGTGTAGGTGGTGGTGTAGTTGGTGGTGTAGGTGGTGGTGTAGATGGTGGTAGACAGGTTCTAGCATGCTGCTTTGTTTTCGATTAAAAATGTGTGACAATTATTGTAAGGTTGCACGAAAAACGTCAAAGATGTTTTCCCAATTTGAACAAAGACGTTTTCCCCATTTCAAACTTTTCGTGAAGCTTTACCCCGACTAGGCCAAATATTGAACCTGCATGAAGCTGCACATGGTGATGTGCGTCCTAGTAATCGTGCAAGGGTGGTTTTACCCGTGGTTTTTCCAGCACACATTGATGTACAATGATCATTCACCAGCTATCTTCCCATGACTTCTTGGATCTCCCAAACTGTTTTTCGTTGTGATACCACACTTCATTCTACCCTACCATTGGAGAATCTCCCATCTACACGTGCCTTTGGAGACGGCTCCACGCAGCACTTCGCGTGCGGTGTCATAGTCCTGCAGCGGAACGCGGAAATTCATTGGATTTTGTTCAAGGGAAATCAACACCGGAAATGATGTTTCCATATGTTTCCTTACCCGGTAAATCCTAATTACAGAGGCAAAACCTGTAAATATCCTCTTGATCCAATTCCTAATAACGGTGTAGAATAGTTTTTGTTGTTTTTTTTGCCTCGGGTTTTGGTTTTTGTTTGCCTTTCTTTCCTGGTACCATTTGCCTTGTATTTGCAACAGTCTGGAACTAGAACCTGTCATTTTGCATTGTATTTGCTACATTTTGGCATGGTCACTTTGCATTTTGCATGTACATTTGGCCATGTGCGCCTTCCATTCTGCATGGTATTTGCAATTGTATTTGCCACATTTTGGCACTTCAACCTCTCATTTGCATGGTATTTGCCACACTTTGGTACTTCAAACGTTCATGCGGGCTTCTTGAGGGTTTTTCGGGCGTTCATTTAAAGTTTCATTTAAGGTTTCATTCAGGGTTTCATGTAGGGTTTCATGTATGGCTATTCAGGGTTTTATTTAGGGTTTCATTTAGGGTTTCTTTAGGCTTTCATGTAGGGTTTCATTTAGGGTTTCTTCAGGGTTTCATTTAAGGTTTCTTTAGGGTTTCAATCTAAGGTTTCATTCAGGGTTTCATTTAGGGGTTCTTCAGAGTTTCATGCCAGTGTTTCTTATCAGGATCTGTTTCACGATTTCAAAACGTTCAAGTCGGTTTCTTTAGGGTTTCTTTAGGGTTTCATGTAGGGTGTGATTTAGGGTTTCATTTAGGGTTTCTTTAGGGTTCTTTAGGGTTTCATTTAGGGTTTCATTTATGGCTTCTTTAGGGTAAATTTATGATTTCTGTAGGGTTCATTTAGGGTTTCATTCAGGGTTTCAGTTAAGGTGTCATTTGTTTTTTTTCAGAGTGTCGTTTAGGGTTTCTTTGGGATGTCATTTAGGGTGTCATTTAAAACTTCTTTAGGGTTTCATTTATTGCTTCTTTAGGTTAATTTATGGTTTCTTTAGGGTTTACTTAGGGTTTCATGTAGGGTTTCTTTGGGTTTCACCTAGGGTCTCTCTAGGGTACAAACAGGACAGAATAAAGCAAAAGAAAATGAAAAACACAGAGACAGTAAAAACAGGAAGCAAAGAAGCAGAGGAGCAGGAAGTAGAGCAGCAAAAACACATGACTGAAGAAAAGAAAAAGTAGAATAGTAGAAGTAGAAAGGCACAGAAGCACAAAAGCAGAGACGCAAAGAAGCAGGGAAAACAGAGAAGCAGAAAAGCAAAGAAGCAGGGAAAGCAAAAAGCAGAAAAACAGAAAAGCATAGAAGCAGGAAAAGCAGAGAAGCAATGAAAGCAGAGAAGCAGAAAAGCAGAGAAGCAGGAAAAGCAGAGAAGCAATAAAAGCAGAGAAACAGAAGCGCAGAGAAGCAGAAAAGCAGGAAAGCATGGAACCAGGAGCCCCCCAAAAAAACTAAAACCTGCCGCAAAAAAAAAATAGCCCTCCATTCCTAATTCCTTCAAAGTAGTCGATGTGTAAATGATCTCAAGATCATGATTGCCTTTTCGGTATAGCGATGGAAAGCAGCAATCCAGAAAAATCACCCATGATCACCCATGCAAGTAGGCGATTTCCCTACCACTTGGAGGCTCCAAAATACACTGTTCTGAAGTGAACACAGCGAAAGTCCGCTAAATATTGCAGAGGTATAGTACATATGTGTATATATATATATAGCATATGTAAATAAATATTAAATAATATATATATATATACTCTGGTTATTTAACATAGCCATTAAAAATCACCATGTTTAAAAGGTAAACCATCTATTTCTATGGGCCATCTATAGGATGGCTATGTTAAATAACCAGAGGATATATATATATATATATTATACCGTTATATACCCTCCAGAACTTTGATCCAACATAGCGATGCCAAAAAAAGGCCGTTTTATTTCTGCTTGACCTAGAGAAATTGGTGGATTGGTTTCACATGTCAAATGTTTTTTGTTGCCAAAAGGTCGAGCGAAACAACAGAACAATATCAGAAAAACATCAAAAATCCATGATGTTTTGAACCCTAGGTTTTCAGTCTTCGGGCTATGTTTAGCAATAGGGGGACAGGAATCTATTATATAGATATATAAAATATATATCATATATATATATTGTTAAAGGGAACGAAGTGAAACAACATGTACAGCATGCAGTGTTAACACAACATGCTGTGACCGCCAAACATTGGCTCAAGCGTATGGAGAAAAGGAACGCGTCGTGTCACTCCGCATGGCAATTGTCGGCTACCAGTAGCAAGGGTACTACAGGTCTGAAATAACATCCAGGACAAGGATTCATTTGTTCGCAGGTTATCAGCCGTAGGGCTCACTTCTCTCGCCGGGAGAGTGGTACCTGCGTGCTGGTAGCCGGGCCGTCTGAGCAATTGATTGAGGACGCAAAGGACCAATCAGCTCATCGTCGCAAAGATGCAAGGCGGCAGCGGAGATTCGCGCACCACGCAGTTTACCTTCAATGAGAACGCTGCTATGCCGGTCGAGGAGGTTAATCAATCTTCCCCTGGCGACACGGCAGACAGTGGCGGGATACGCTCTACCCGAACTACACAGTCCGGATGGCAAGTCACATCAAACAGACGAAGAATATCCACCCAAAGTACACCTAGATCTTCTCGAAACAGTGCTCGGAGTGATGTTGTCCGCCAAGGGCATCGACCATCTCGAGGACGTACTACTCCAAGGGACAGATCCACCAGGGCCGTGACCGACCGAATTGGTGAGAGGACCGGGGATAGTCGTGTTAAGAGGAGATCAACGGATACTTCTGTGGCTAGTGAACCTATTGCCATGATAGAGGAACTACGGGCACAATGTCAATCCCTACGTAATCAGCTGAACAACATGGAAGCATACGCTGCATCTAGGGATCAACTGATTCATGACATCGAGATCAGATTCACTGAGTATCTTCGGGAACACAACCAGAATGTATTTGATGAGGTCAATGCACTCAATCATAGATTGTCATGTTCCGCAAATGAGGTTGCAGAATATCAAGCAGAACTAATGGTAGCATCTCAGGAAGACGAAGGTGCAACAATACGCATCCAAGACCTTGAACGCCGAGGTGCCCTAATGGAACATGGTGCACGACGGATCCATCAACGTGGTATGGAGATCCAGGAGGAGTACAAGGATGAAGTACATCACCTTCAAGGACTACTGGGTAATACGGAGGCAAGACTACAACAACTTCATCAAACCAATGTCTTAACCACCGATATTGCCAATCGACTATACAATGAAGGTCAAGAAATGCAAACAGATTTCCAGAACTCAATCATGGAATATCGTAATCGATCCGAAATGGCATCCTTCTCTAGTAATCAACTTGAAGTGATTAGCCAACAACAATCAATTGCAGTTCATGAATTATCTGAGCGGAATCAGCTATTGAGTGAAGCTTTGGTTCAGTCTCGTAAACAGGCCGAGCTGTATGAGAGCAGTATTGATGAGATCACTAGAGAATCTAGGAAGAAGGTGTTCGAGGCAAATCAGGCCAAATTGGAAAGTGATCTGAAGCATCGAAACACTGAACACGATACCGTCAGAAGAATTGCATCATACAGGAACCAAGAGGCCGAAGCAATATCACACCTGAGGCTTGAATCACAGGCTAGCGCAAACTCAATCGCAAGGGCAGAGCACTATGAGGAGCTCTATGCCAACGAGCAGGAGATGAACTGCGAATTGAAGGATGAGATCAAGTTGCAGAACACGAAGTTACGAAGATCGTTGACTCAGGGTTCTACGACCGACGGTCGTGGCCCCGATGAGATGCTTGTTGAAGATCTACGTAATCAAGCTAAAATCGCTCAAATCAGGGTTCAGGACCTAGATCATGAAGTTCATGAATGTTTACAAGAAAACTTGTTGTTGAAAGAAAGGTTGGCTGAAGTTGCGGATGTAGGGGCGTCGTCCCTCACCAATGCTGAGGTCCGAACTCTAAAGTCTGAACTAGAGAGTGAGCGCAAAATGAAGTTGGCTAGTGGTGTTCAGCAATATGAGAGATCATGCATGTTCATGGGGGAAATCCAGGATAGGGATGAAAAGATCGGTATCAAGAATTCCGAGATTATGGACATGAAACGTCAAGTAGATGAAATGAGAAAGAGTCTCAAGGATTCTGAAACATCCATATCTAGGGTCAGCCCTGACACACTTCCCTATTCGGCAGGCATTCCCAACTACGATCTCGCATCAAGACTAGTCATCGACAAACTGGAGAATGACGTGAGTGAGGCTAACTGTGAAAACGCTATTCTGAAGTCTTGGGTTTCGCAGATCGACAAGGAGTTGAACTATGAGACAAATGTGGCTCATTCCTATCGTGAACATGCTGTACCTCCTCAACGACAACCTTCTCAATCAAGCAAAAGAATCACTGATCTGCTGAAAGAGGTGGACAACAAGATCGCTGATGGAACTGAGAGGGAATACTACAAGCCACCGAGTGGATGGGGCGGTCCGCCTGACCCTGATGGACCTCCTGACCCTTTCGGGCCTAACGGTCCAGGACCACCTCCTGAACCTCCAGGTTTACCTTCAGTTAGAGGATCACAACGCGATTCAGCAGATGATGTCTCCACAGCAGCTTACACTGCAGAAGAAGTGCCAAGAATGTCAAGACGGGAGGCTGACAAAGTCTATGTTAGCCCATGGCCGAAACAACAGAATCTTGGGGTTTGGCAATCAGATCTCATCAAGAGTGTTGTTCTTTCTGCCAATGATGGGGACAAAGCCGCATGGGAAGCATGGTTACAACCGGCTATTCGACCAAATCCTGACATCGAGCTATTGAATGACAGTGGAGGGCAACGGTATCAGTCAATCGACGACAAGTTGTCAATTGCATTGTCAAATGTGATAGCCCAAGCCGGTGATGTTGCTCGTCATGTAGCGATCAAATTGAGATTGAGGACACAA